TCCCGGGTGGGCTGAAACACATACACCTGGACTCACCTAGACGTATCTGGATATATCTGGACACACCTGGACAGCCCCATCTCCATCAGGGGCGCCATCCCCACGCCACCCTCCTCCCCCAGGAAGCCAGACCTTGGAGTTTGGACTCCCTACTGGATGAATTCAGGACCCTGCAGACCCTGGGGCACCCCTGGGCAGCTTGGGCTCAGCAGGGGAGCCCCCAGGGGGGGTTTGACTCATGACTTCAGGTGAGAGGTGTTATAGCTAAAGGTGCTCTGGGGGCGGGGCACAGGGGGCAGGGCTCACTTGCTTCTTCCAGGAACAGGTGCTGCCATGACCACAGCCCCTGGCAGCCACGGCCTCCCCACTGTGGTGTCCCAGTGCTGGTGCATTCGCACATGTCTGTCTCTCTCCTGCTAAGTGCTCCCAGCCTGGATCAGGGTGAGGCCCTGGGAACTCGGACCCTGGGGCATCTCCCTCCTGTAGGCCGTGGGTCTCGTTCGATCACGTGAGGACCTTAGAAATCCACAGCCCAGACCGGGCAGCTGCTTCTCAGGCCTTGGGCTCCAGTCCTGCAGGTGGCCTTGCATCAGCCCCGCCCCAGAGCAGCAAGAATGCAGAGTCTTGGGCTCACCTGGGGCTCACGGAGGCAGACGCTGCATTGCAACACGATCTCTGTGAGGAGGGCGGGCTTGTCGTGCACTGGGTTGAGTGGTCACCAGCAGCACCTGCACCCCATGTCGGAGCACTGGTGCTTTGGCCTGGACCAGCGCCGGCCATTGTGGCCATTGACCAGAGCTTGTTCTGAAGACAGGCCCTCTAGATTCTCTTAAAAAGGGCTCCGTCATTACGAGTGCAGCACACGCCAAAGCTTCAGGCACATCAGGCTCCACAAGCCTGCCTCTGCCCTGGCCTCTGGGGGAAGCCTGAGACCTGTGGAGAATCATCCCAGGCTCACTGTGGCTTCCTGGTGCTCTTCCCATGCCCCACCCAACACCACAGCCCCCACTTGCCCGACTCTGCAGACAGAAGAATGAGGGGTGTGGTTGGTTCCCAGCTCCGTTCCCCAATGTCGTGGGAGCCAGCACGGTTGCTGGTGACATTGATCACTCCTTGCTATAGGGCGCCCAAGATTCCTGTTCGTCCACAGAATGTTGGGCTGAAAATTACAAAATGCAATGAGGTTTAACAGCAGAAACCACTGAGCCAGTTTTTCTATCAGCCAGGAGGGTCCAGCGCCTTCATCACGTGGCCAGTATACAGTGTCTAGGGCACACTCGAGGGCTGGAAAGGAAAACCCCAACCTGTCAAAACTCAGTCTGGATCACACCTTCTACTTCCTGAACCTGGCCCCAAGGGTTCCAAGTCCCCAGTCTCCAAACTCTGATGACCAGGAGCAAGCCAGTGATGGCCACACCAAAGCAGTGCTCGCAGCTCTGCCTGGTGAGATTCTGGAGATGGCCAGTGCCCCGACCGTGGCCAATTACACCAGACTCTGGGCCGGGGTCGGGGGGACCTGGGCACCAGCATTTCTAGGCTCCTGCTGAAGCTATTGAACAGTCAGGTAGCAGAATGAGTAATGTTAGATAAAGGCATCTGGGTCAGCCTTTTTAAGATTTGTTTATGTATTGAAAGACAGAGTTACAGGGAGGGAGAGGCTGAGAGAGGAGCGAGAGGAGAGAGGAGAGAGGAGAGGAGAGGAGAAGAGAGGAGAGGAGAGGAGAGGAGAGGAGAGAGGAGAGGAGAGGAGAGGAGAGGAGAGGAGAGGAGAGGAGAGAAAGAAAGAGAGAGACAGAGAGAGATAGAGAGAGAGAGAGAGGTCTTCCACCTGCTGGTTCACTCCCCAAATAGCCGCAATGGCCGGAGCTGAGCTGATCTGATGCCTGAAGCCAGGAGCTTCCTCTGGGTCTCCCATACAGGTGCAGAGGTCCAAGCACTTGGGCCAACTTCTACTGCTTTCCCAAGCCATAGCAGAGAGCTGGATCGGAAGTGGAGCAGCCAGGACTCAAACTGGTGCCTGTAAGGGATGCCAGCACTGCAGGCGGCAATCTATTTGAAAAGTTTTGCAAAGCTGTAAAATAATATGCATATGGAAAGTCCGCCCCAACGTGCTCAAAAATCACGCAGCATGCATCTAGGCTACGAAAGTGATTTGCACACATGGGCAACGCTTGGACATTCACAGGTTGTGAGGTTTTTATTGTAAGGTCCTTTGCATGCTGGTCTGTTCAGGGGTTGGAGGAGCAGCCGGCGGGCGGCTGGAAGGCATCACCTTGCATTCTGAGAGCTGTGAGCCCTCACCTGGGTGCTGTGCCACGGCTGAGAACGGAGAGGGGGCACCCGGGGATCACTGCCAGTGTCCAGGAGTCTTCCTAGGAGTTTCAAGGGTGGGAGGGGCCACTGCTCTCCTAGGGTCTCCAGCTCATCACCAGCTGAACGTCGTTTGCTGTGTGTGCAGCATCATGACGCAGCTGATTTGCCTGCTCCCATAAGAATAAGCCTCTTTCTGGCACAGCCACTTTAGCAGAGTGACTTTCTGGGTAAGTGCTGGCCCCTGCGGGTCCTTCCCAGTTCCCTGTGCCCTGAGGCTGAGGTCCATCTGCTCCTGGGCCAGGGTGGGAAAGCAGTGGCGTAGTCTCTCTCCGCCTCTGCAGGTTACAGAAACCTGGGACGTCATCGGATGCGAGCCGTGGCAAGGAAGCGGGACCCGGCTCTGGCTGTGCGTGTTTGTGAATGAGCAAGCGCTGTTTATGGAGCATCTACGTTTCTCACTGATTGCTCTGCACATGATGACAGCCGGGGAGAACTGAGTCATTGAGGACCTCAAAGACTGACATGCTTTCAAGGCTCTGACTCATGGCTTTGCTACAATGATGCTCAGCAGGAAAAAAAAAAATAGCTCCTGGAAACGTGGCTGGCTGAGTGGTGTGCGGGCTGGGAGCGTCCCTCGCTTGCCTACAGCCAAGGCTGGGGGGCGGAGTTCAGGAAAATGGGAGGGAGTGGGGACAGCAGCTCGGAGCGTCCCTGCATCTCAGGGGGTGCTTCCCACGCTGGGTGGGGGCTCTGGGGAAGTGTTCCTTCTTCCTGGAGGTTACCTTTACAAAACCATAAGACATGAAGCATCCAATTATGTCACCTGTGCCTTTGTGCTGCATCCAACTGCTCTTTTCTTTGCCTTTGAAGGCAAGGCTGATTGTATGTGGTGTGTGTGTGTGTGTGTGTGTGTGCATGCGCATGTGTCTGTGTGTGTGGAAGAGAAGGCGGGATGGGCTGATTTGTGAACACCAATCTCAACAACACAGAGGACGGCTCCCTTGGTGTGACGATGTCACTGGCAGTGAGTGGTTTGCCTCGGTTCCTTTTTGCTGATGGAATCATGAGTTACAGTTCAGAGAGACCAAAGTAAGGATGGCAAAGGTTTAATGAACTACATTCCAAGGGAGGAACGGGCCAGGTGAGAGAGCACCAAAGAAAAGCCATAAAGTGCTTCCTTTCAATGAAAAGTGAAAGTGCAGTAAAATACGTTTCGAGGGAGACCACATCCACGTAACTTTTATTATAATACATCGTCATGATTGCTCTATTTTATTAGTCATCATTATGGCTGATCTCCTGCTGTGTCTAATTTATAAATTAAACTTCGTCCTATATATGTGTATACAGGAAAAATTGCAAACCTAGGCTTCTGGAATCCACCTGGGGGCCTGACAAACATCCCCCAAGTAGATTTCCTGAGACACTGCATAGCGCCCTCTGCTGGCCACAGAGCAGAACTGCTGGCAGCAGGTAGCTGAAGGCTGGGTTGCCTTGGTGGATGTTTTTAAAATAAAGCCTCCATGCCCAGCACTGCATGTGTCAGCACTGCATGTGGCCCCTTCCCTCTGCAGCTGTGGAGGCCAGGCTCAGTGAGACTTGCCCAGGGTCAGTGCTGGAGACACAGTATCTGTGTCTATTCCAGCTCCATGCTTCTGTCATGATCCATTCATTTGCGAGCGGACCCTACAGCCCAGGAGGCAGCTGTAGTCTGTGTCGGGGCTCACCGAGGGGTCTCAGGCCAGGTGCCCCCACATCTCCTGCAGACCCCCGGGTGGGCTGCAGCGGAGAGGACCCTGGAGGACTAGGAAGGAAGCTTGTGGCTGCAGGGTTTTCCGGGGCTTGACCAGAGAGGGTGGACAGAAGACAAACACACACAGAGACATAGGGTATGTCCACGGGAGGACAACTGGCCTGTGCAGCTTTTTAAGTAATGATTTGGAGTAAGCTCCTTGGGTGTGGTGTGGCTGTGTGCATATGTGATGTGTTTGTATAATCTGTATATGCATCCCATGCTGTGTGTGGCAGGATATGATGCATGTACATGTGTGTGATGTTTGGTGTATGTGGATCTTTGTATGGTATGTGTATGTGATGTGTGGGTTTGCACATGCATGTACATGTGTGTGCATGCATATGTGGGGTGCACTGGGCATGTAGATGTTTGTATGCACAATCATGCACACTTATGATACAATAGTGTATACTGCATACTGTGCATATATATGTGCCCACACATGTGCTGGTATAAATGCATATTTGTACACATGTGTGTATGCATGTTCACGCATGTATGTGTCTGTGTGTGCACGTGCGTGCATTATGGGTGTAGCTGCCTTTAGGACAAGAATGAAACTGGGCTCTAGAATTCTTTTCTTGTCTATCCCAATGCTCCTTAAGCTGTCTTCAGGAACAAAGCAAACTTCACCACCCACCCGTGCCAGTGTTTTGGCCGAAGCAAAGATTTCCATGTCCTTGGCCCACTTCTGAAAGAGTGGAACAGGAGCGGGCAGCCCTGCGAGGGCAGATCCCCAGCCCATGAGCAGAGGCCAGGGACCACCCCCCGGTGGGACCCCTCCCTGCAGGCCTCCTCCTTCCTGGTGGCGGAGGCTCAGGGCAGCTCCAGGAGCCTACTTAGGATGGGCAGGGAACTCCACAGGTTACAAAACACATCATGCATTTGGCCATGCTCTTTACCACGATTTATTTGACACTGTAACCTAGCATGTCCTAATAGCCTCCATGAAAACCATCACAAAGCTAACTTTAAGTTTTTATTAAAAATCACAGTGTATGAAACTGTCCGGTGAGATGACGGAGCTCTTCTGAAATGCGGGGGCAAGACGCTGCCCTGCCAGCTGATGCAGGGGGCTCGCCGGGGGCTGGGAGGGCCGGAAATCCAGGGGTGGCGTCTGCAAGCGGAGCTCCAGGTAGACTCGCAGTCCCCGGGCTGACGTCAAGGTGAAGTCAGCACCCAGCAGATCACAGCCAGGGCTGGGTGAGGGGGCGTGGAGGAAGGGCACGCTCAGTGCAAACAGCCGTGCCACTGAGCACATTCTAGAAACATGCAGCCCTGCTGGGCACGGCTCCTGAAGCAGCCACAGTCCCCGTGCTGCTGGCCAGGGCGGTCTGTGTGCCTCTGATGTTCCTCTGTTCCCTGCTGGAGGAGGATCAGAGAGTGAGAGCGCCGGGAGGGGGCCCGGCTGCCAAGGAAAGACGCGGTTAGAACAGCGAGGAGCAGCTTGCACCACAATAAACTTATCTGGGTGCGAAAAATCTAGCTCAAGCTAGAAGGCTCCAGACCTTTCCCCGACGGTCCACGCTCACCCCTTTCTCAGGGTTCATCCTGCTTCAACTAAGCGGCTTTTCTCTGTTGCATCTCTGGATGACTCTCGGGGAAAGGGTTATTTTCCCCATGGGACAGGATTTTCACTATGTAAGACTTCCTCCCCCACCAGGGGGCATGGGCACGCGGGAATCTGCTCCCTGAGATGGCCAGGGTGGGGTGGGGTAGGGGAGAGGGAAGAGATCCCCCTTCGTGGCCTGGTCACAGATTCCCAGGAGGGTATGGGTGCTGCTGACGAGGCTTAAAACTTACGCGGGAAGAAGACACGAGGGTTACATATAAGGGGACTTTATAAAGTTCCTGGTCGCCGTATAACTCCAGGGACTCCATCTGTGTCTTGAGGATCTACTCAGTGCACCCAGTGCTCAGGGATCCTCCCTCAACCAAAATCATCAAACTTCCAGGTAGCGCAATTCCAAAAGGTGTGGATGGCTTCTAGAAACTTCTAGAAACTTCTTAAGTTCTGTAAGTGGCTCATGGCTTTTCTAGGCTAGGCAAGGTATATGGATGGTCAGTTTTCTTTCCCCCTCAACTCCCTTGTTAGGAGTAAGGCCTCCTCTCTACTCTCTAGGAATGTGCTTCCATTCCCAAAGGTCAGGTGCACCTGAAGAACAGACAGGTGCCTCCACGGCACAGCCAGCATCACAGCCCGTACGGCTGTTGGGGCTTTCATTTTCAAGGGCCTTAGCAACAGGCAGTGACCACACAGACTCAAAAACACTGAGGCCAGGATTCGCTACGTGTAGGAGGACAGAAGGGAATTCTCCGGTCTTGGATCTCCAACTCAAAGGCACCCTCAAGGCAGCCTATTTGAGGTGAGGGTCAAGGTCTGTGGCTTTAGTATGGACCCACACTTTCTTTAGAGAGTCCTTGTTGATGCCGTTGGTCTGACGTCGCCCGCCCTGTGTCATGGTTTGTGTCCCCAGATCCGTGGGCTGCAAACTGCACACCAGATTCCTAGGTCCATGGGATTTGTCGGTGCCGCCTGGGGAGGAGGTTCCAAGGGGATGAGGGCCAGAGGGTGGGGCCCGTAAGACTTGCATCGAAGATGAGGAGAAGGCGAAGCTGGCTGGGCTTTTCCTGGGATGGCCTTCTGCAGCGGGCAGCCCCCACCAGGGGCCGGGGCCACGCTCTCCCACCTCCCAGACTTCAGAACCTCGGGAAACAGATTTCTTTATAAATCACCCGATCTGGGGTGCTCCGTTCTAGCAACATGCGACAGACAGATACAAAGACAGGGAATGACAGGCTGAGTGGCTGGCAGCCTGAAGCACCCAGGGGTCCTCAGTTGGATTCAGGGTGATGGCCAGCCTGCTTCCCACCGGAGCACTCAGGGGCAGGCAGGGCTGTACTCGGGAGCCGGTGCAGCCACACAGACGCAGGGGAGGCGCCTGGGGACAGCAAGCCACGCCCGCTCATGCAAACCACCCTCACGGTCCACACAAATGTCAGCCTGTGTCTCGCAGCATCTGGGCATTCTCTATTCCCTAACTGGCTGCCACAGGCTTAGAAATCCCAGAGCTGGCCTTGTTTAGGGGTTTGGTTTGGTTGTTAAGCCTTGGAGCGCTATCTCGCTGGGGCAGCAGCCAGTGGCCGGCTGTCACCGCGTGCTCCCGAGTCTTTGCGTCCCTCTGTTTCAGGAATCACTGCGACCCTGCGGGCTCTGGGAATGCTGGGCGTGGTGAGGGCTCCGCACCCTTGCCCTGGGGGCACCCACTGCAGCCAGGACCCCAGGAATATTGGAGGGACATAAAAGGAATTCCGAAGCACATCCTGCAAAGAATGTCCTGGGAACCCAGCGAGGCCACTGGACCGTGCTGTCTGCGTCTGCCGGCTCTACGGAGGACGAGTCCCGGAGGCCAGGCTGTGGCTCCCGCGGAGCTGGCTCTCCTAACCGGCAGAGCTGGAGAGAAGCGCCGGAAACCGAGTCAGCTGCTGAGTTCGCTTTCTGGTGCGGGCTCCTGCGATCCAGGGCAGCCCGGGTCAGGCAGAGGAGCCCTTAGTTCACCACGTCGTAGTAGTAATTGCGCAGCCGCAGTTCCACCGCTACAAACCCGGGCCTCTTCTCCACCCTGCAAAGGGAAGCGATGGAGCATTGTCAACGCCTTTGCTCTCAGCTGCTGACAGTGCCTCGGCGGGCACGGAGCGCGCACGGTCGCGCCCCCTGGTGGCGTCCTCTCGGGCCTGCACGCACAGCGAGGTCCGGCATCCCAGCCCTGGAGAGACCAGAGGACTCCGAGACACACGGGGTCTCAGCCCACCCGGCTTTGCATCCTTTTTTCTTTTCTTTTTTTGTTTGTTATATAGTTTTTTTGTTTAATAAATGTGAATTTACAAAGTGCAACTTTTGTATTGTTGTGGCTCCCCCCCAACCTCCCTCCCTCCCGTGGCCCTCCCCTCTCCCATTCCGCCCTTCATTGAGTTTCATTTTCAATTACCTTCATATACAGAAGATCAACTTAGTATATACTAAGCAAGGATTTCAACAGGCTGCACTCACACAATCGCACAAGGTATAGGGTATTGTTCGACTAGTAGTGTTGTTTTTAGGTTTCATAGTAGAACACATTAAGGACAGAGATCCTACGTGGGGAGCATGTACCCAGTGACTCCCATGTTGATTTAACAATTGGCACTCTTATTTATGATGTCAGCAATCACCCGAGACTCTTGCTATGAGCTGTCTAGACTATGGAAGCCCCTTGAGTTCACCGACTCTGAACTTGTTTAGTCAAGGCCGTATCACAGTGGAGGTTCCTTCCTCCCTTCAGAGAAAGGTGCCTCTCTCCTTGATGGCCTGTTCCTTCTTCTGGGGTCTTGTTCACCAGGATCTTTCATTTAGATTGTTTTTTGCCACCGTGTCATGACTTTCTATGCTTGTGAGACTCTCATGGACCTTTTAGCCAGATCCGAATGTCCCAAGGGTTGATTCTGAGGCCAGAGTGCTGCCGTTCTATGCCGGCTTTGCATTCCAACAAGATCTCCAGGGGATTCAGGTTCACCTGCAGGTTGGGGGCGTTTTGCACTAGAACTCCCGGGTTCAGAAGCCATCTCCTTTGATTCTAGCAAAACAGAGTGTTCCAGAACACACTGCAGTGGTTAACATGCTGCAGGTGCACTGAATGTGTGACTCATAATCTTTCTTGTTAAAAGACAGAAAACATGGACATAACAGTAGCTCTCCTCCCGGTGCTCCGGGAAGGACTCAGATCTGTCTGTCATACATCTTAACATGGGCACACCCCTTCCTCTTGACAGGTGAGATACTGACATATGCAAGCTTTGGGTAAAAGCTTATCACACTCTGCAGCCTCTAAACCAACATTCAGGGGGGTGTCTCTGCTGTCACGGCACGGATCAGCTGGGAGCAAGTCCACTCATCCCCGGAGAACCACAGGCATGGCCCCAGGATCCCTATGGATACAAAGATGCTAAAGTCCCTTAACTAAAATAGTGTGCTACTTGCCTGGAACCTTCACAGTCCTATACATTTATTTGTTTAATACCCATAATAGCCAGAGCTCAGCCAGTCTGAAAGCAGGCGCCAGGAGTCCCTCTGGGTCTCAGGGGGCCAACTACCTGAGCCATCACCTGCTGTCTCCCAGCATGTGCACTGACAGGAAGCTGGCAGTGGGAGCGGAGCCCAGGCACTCCGAGATGGAAGCAGGCCTCCCAGGTGGTACTTTTTGTGGCTGTGCCAAATGCCTGCCCACTTCCATGTACTTGTAATCATCTTACAATAACAGGTGCAATTACTACATAGATAGTCATAATGCTATATTGGTTTGGGAAATAAGGACAAGGAAGCAAGGTTTATACATGTTCAGCACATATAAACTATTTTTCTGAATGTTTCTGATCTGCACTTGGCTGAACTCTTGGTGCTCAAACCCATGGAAACTAAGGCCTGACTACATTCCTGAAAACCTTGGGACTACAGCCTCGCTTGGAAGCTATTTGCATCCTTTTGCAAGAGTTTGTGTTATATTGCAGCTGCGTGAAGCTGTCTGGGAAGTAACATGGAACTTGGGGTTATACTCCACGGGATGGTGCGCCTTCCATCACTCGGACCCATGCCAAGTACAATGCCGAGACAGGAGTAAGCACCAGGACCCACAGGTGCACAGCGGCTTCTGCAGAACCAGAGTTGGTACTTCTTTTTTTCTTTTTTCTTTTTTTTTTTTTTTTTATTTTTGACAGGCAGAGTGGACAGTGAGAGAGAGAGACAGAGAGAGAAAGGTCTTCCTTTTGCCGCTGGTTCACCCTCCAATGGCCGCCGCTGCAGCCGGCGCACCGCGCTGATCCTGGCAGGAGCCAGGAGCCAGGTGCTTTTCCTGGTCTCCCATGGGGTGCAGGGCCCAAGCACCTGGGCCATCCTCCACTGCACTCCCTGGCCATAGCAGAGAGCTGGCCTGGAAGAGGGGCAACCGGGACAGAATCCGGCGCCCCAACCGGGACTAGAACCCGGTGTGCCGGCGCCGCAAGGTGGAGGATTAGCCTATTGAGCCACGGCGCCGGCTCCAGAGTTGGTACTTCTAACAAACGTCATAGAAATGAACTATTTCAGTGGCCAGCAAAGCCCTACTAAGACTGCTTGGTCAGCCAGCTGTGGTCACGTCTGCGGACACAGGCCTTCAGTGTAGGGGCCATATCTCTGGTCCCCACGTTGTGGTCTACACCCTGGAGTGGATGTCAGGGCCAGGCGATGCAGATGCCAGCACCTTCCCAAGGGCCTTGGGACTTCTGAATTCTAGAGCTCTGTGTGTTTTAAAAGTTCATTTACTTATTAGGGGTTGGTGTTGTGGCGTGGTACGTTCAGCCTCCACCTGCAGTGCTGGCATCCCACATGTGCGCTGGTTCGAGTCCTGGCTGCTTCTCTTCCAATCCAGTTCTCTGCTGTGGCCTGAGAAAGCAGCAGAAGATGGCCCAAGTCCTTGGGCCCCTGCACCCACGTGGGAGACCCGGAAGAAGCTCCAGGTTCCAGGCTCCTGGCTTCAGACAGGCCCAGCTCCAGCTGTTGCAGTCATCTGAGCAGTGAATCAATGCATGGAAGACCTCTCTCTCTCTGTGTCTGCCTCTCTCTGTCTGTAACTCTGCCTCTCAAATAGATTTATTTACTTATTTGAAAGGCGTCGTATTTTTTCACTCAACTGTACCTCCCTGAACTAGTTTTAAGATTTATTTATTTATTTGAAAGTCAGAGTTACAGAGAGAGAGAGAGAGAGAGAGAGAGAGATATCTTCCATATGTTCCTATGGCTACAATGATCAGAGCTGGACCAGGCCAAAGCCAGGATCCAGGAACTTCATCCAGGTCTCCCACATGGGTGGCAGGGGCCAAGCACTTGGGCCATCCTCTGCTGCTTTTCCCAGGCCATTAGCAGGGAGCTGGATCAGAAGTGGAGCAGCCGGGACTCGAACCGGCATCCAAAGGAGATGCTGGCATCGCAGTTGGCGGCTCTGTGCACCACATCACAACACCAGCCCCTTGAGCTACTCTTGTTAGACAGATCTGAACATCTGCCTGCCCTGCACTGGAGGTCCCCACTAGGAAAACTATAGCTTTCAGAAATACACGTCTGTGGCGAAGAAGCTGAACTGTGGAAAGGAGCTGTCACTTCTAACTCAGAGCCTGGGCCGCCGTCACTGTCTCTGTCCACCTGAGGTTCTTCCCAGGACTGACTCCCAAGGGCCCAGCAGCCCCGGGGAGGCCAGGTGGGTTAGCCCCAGGGGAGGGAAATGAGGGGCAATGGTAGAAAGAGGGGTGGACTCTTCCCAGGACTGACTCCCAAGGGCCCAGCAGCCCCGGGGAGGCCAGGTGGGTTAGCCCCAGGGGAGGGAAATGAGGGGCAATAGTAGAAAGAGGGTTCTGGGAGCGGCTCCGGACCCAGAGCTGGGGGTCCATTCTGCACCAGGTCCCAGTGAGCCCTCAGGACTGGCCGGGTGTCCGCAGCAGCAGAAGGCACAGGGCACGGTGCTGAGCAAAGCTGGCAGCAGCCGTCCCTGTCTCCAGCAGCTCGGCGGGACCTTGGGAGCCGCACAGCTGTGCACAATGACAGCCTCAGCACGCGCGCGCACAGCCCCAGACCCAGCGCCCGTGCCGGTGGGTGAGGCAGCCAGCGCGAGACCCTCGGCGCTCCTCCCCAGGGCTCATCTGTCTTCCACCTCCCCACAGCTTCACCTCCTCCTTGACTGCTGGGCCCAGACCTTCAGTTTCAATTTCAAAAGCAGCTGGGGCCTCACATGGCCATGATCTAAGGATTCCAGTTGGGCATGTGGAGAACTGAGTCAAGATCGAAGAATTGGGGGCTGGTGCTGTGGCGTAGCAGGTAAAGGAGCCACCTGCAGTACCAGCATCCCATGTGGGCACCGGTTCAAGTCCTGGCTGCTCCTCTTCCAATCCAGCTCTCTGCTGTGGCCTGGGAAAGCAGCAGAAGGTGGCCCAAGAACTTGGACCTCTGCACCCATGTGGGAGACCCGTTAGAAGCTCTTGGCTTCAGCCAGGGCTGCTCCAGGCTGAAGAGCCTGGGGGAACCTGGGAGTTGCAGATCCTCAGATGGCCCCTGAAGCTCCAGACGACCCCTCGCCTGCTGCTGCTGCTCCTGCAGCGTCCCCTCCTGTCCCGAAACGCACACCTGACTGTGTTATGTCCCTGGCTGGGATCAGCACTCCTCTGGGCCCCAGGCGGGCTGTGCCAACACACTGCAGGCCACAGGGCTGGAGACAATGGCTTCAGGCCCTTGCCAGAGTCCCTCAGGGGCTGCCCAGCCCGGGCAGGGTCAGTGGCCACTTCCCTAGTTTGCAGGTGTGATGCATCTTGGCCTTGAACTTCACCTGAGCATCACGTCGTGGGTTTTCTGAAAGCATGGGCGGAGCCCGGGCCCACCAGGAATGTGATATGATGACAGTGTTTGCAGGACTTAGTACCTTCTAGGAAGCACAATCCTAGCTAACCCATCAGAGCCGGCCAAAATCCATGGCTGTGCCACACTACGACAGGCAACCAGGGAAGCCGGGAAGCAGACCGTTCACCTCCTGAGTACCTGCGCCAGTTGCTATGCCAGGAACAGGTGGCAGCACCGGAGTCACAGCCAACGCCGCTCCCAGGTCATCTACACGGACATGCTGGTGCCGGGATTAGAGTAACTGTCGACCTTACTATCCAGCGCCTGCTCCAGGAAGCAGGACGCCTGCCCGCCAAGTCTGTCCCTCATCCCCTGTTGCCCATTCAGAGGAGGCGCGCCCCTGACTCACGGATAGGCCGGCGTCTGCTTCCTGCTGGTGCCCAGCCAGGCCACCCACCTCTGCAGGGCATGCGGCCGCATCGTGGCCAAGGTCGGTACTCACTCGTACGTCCAGCACAGGTTCATCAGCTCGTACATCTCTCTCGGACACCCTGGAGGGCACCCCATCCGCTCTCCTTTCTCCAGCATGGCGGTGACTTCGCTGCCTTTCATCCCCTACAGCATGCAAAGCACACGCGAGCTGTCAGAACACAGGGGCCAGCGAAACAGAAGCGATCGCCTCCCCCACCCTCCGCCGACCCACAGGCGCGCAGGCTGTAAAAGTCTGGGGAGACCCAGACTCCACGACGTCGGTGATTTCTGGGTCTTTGTGAAGGTCATCTGGGCTGACCTGGCGGGGAGGGCGGTTACCAAGAAGGGCTCACCCACCCGGTACGGCTTCTGCCCGTAGGAAAAGGCCTCCCACATCAGCACGCCGAAGCTCCACACGTCGCTCTTGCTGGAGAACTTGTAGTAGTTGATGCACTCGGGCGCGTACCACTTCACGGGCCACTTCCCGTGCGTCTGCGCCTGGAAGCCGAGCACACGGAGACGCCTTGTTAGCAATGACCTTGTGTGCATCTATCCGCTGAGCAGTTGCCTCTGACAGCCTGAGCGTGGCGGCAACGCGGGTGACCGTTGGCAGGGTGGACAGATGGCACGTGCTGTGCAGCGACCAGGGGGCTGTCATTCAGCCTCAGAGAGGAAGGGGACCCTGACCCTGCTGTCCCACGTCAGAGTAACTGGGTTGGATTCCTGGCTCCATTTCTTGACTCCAGCATCCTGCTAATGGGCACCCTGGGGGGTAGCAGACAATGGTGCAAGTACTTGGGACCCCGCCACTCATGTGGGAGACTCAGACTGAGTTCCAGCCCCTGGCTTCAGCCTGGCCCAGTTCCGGGCATTGTGGGCATCTGGGGAGTGAAGTACCAGAGGAGAGTGCACTCTCTCTCTCTCTCTCTCTCTGCCTCTGTCTCTCTGTCTCTCTCTCTCTGCATCTCAAATAAAGAGATTTCAAACAAATCTTTAAGCACTCCTTTTAAGATTTACACGCACACCTGTAAGATTCGGGCAGGATTGCTGGCACCGCTTGCAGCTTTTGGTCTTTGGCTCTCTCCTCTTTGGCCACATACAACTTTGCAGAGTACACGGGTGGCGGAGAGAGTCAAGCCCAAGAATCTACTTCATGGATGTTGCCCAAGAAACACCTGGGTGTTCCCAGCGATATTTAACTGCTGTGAATTTGTCTGTATTGTCAAGCCAATGCTAACTATTTGAATAAGACTTACATCATTTTAGAATGCCTTAAATTTTCTAATTTCCTAATTTAATAAAGCCAGCGGGGGCTGGCGCTGTGGCTGCAGTGCCAGCATCCCATATGGTGCTGGTTCTAGTCCTGGCTGCTCCTCTTCCGATCCAGCTCTCTGCTGTGGCCTGGGAAAGCAGTGGAGGATGGCCCAAGTGCTTGGGCCCCTGCACCCACATGGGAGACCCGGAAGAAGCTCTTGGCTCTTGGCTTCGGATCAGCGCAGCTCTGACCATTTCGGCCATTTGGGGAGTGAACCAGCAGATGGAAGACCTCTCTCTGTCTCTCTGTCTGTCTCTCTCTGGCTCTGACTCTCAGAGAAATATATAATAATAAATTTTTTTAAAGCCAGCGGTAATAAAGAGATCAAAACCATGCACGACAAAATGCCTCACTTCAGGATTTGGGATTTGGGGAGGGGGACACTGTTGAGTGCTGTCACCTCTTGCAAGGAAAAGCAGAGTTACAGAGAGAGAGAGACGGAGGGAGATATAGAAGGAGAGATCTTCCATTCACTGGCTCACAACCCAAATGGCGCCAACAGCCTAGACTGGGCTGGGCTGAACCCAGGAGCCAGGAGCGTCTCCCTGGTCTCCCACGTGAGTGCAGGGTCCAAGCACTTAGACCAGCCTCCACTGCTTTCCCAGGTGCATCAGCAGGGAACTAGAATGAAAGGGGAGCAGCCAGGACTTGACCTGGTGCCCAGATAGGATGCCAGCATCCCGGGCATCAGTTTAACCCACTGTGCCACAACACCCCCGCCCCCAGCATGCCTGTATTTTTTAAACAACAGAATCAAAGCTTAATAAAAATATTTTCTATACTTTTTGTAACCTGCTGAAATTACTTCTTGAAAGCTTGCCATGAGAAGATAAAGAAACACACATTTGTCTTTGAGTTTCCACGACTTGCCGCTCTGAGCATCGGCGGCCTTGTCCCTACCTTGTAGTAGTTCTCGTCTGCACGCAGAGCTTTGGAAAGTCCAAAGTCGCTGATCTTGGCGTAATGTTGAGTGACCAGCAGTACATTCCTTGCAGCCAGATCTCTGTGCACAAAATTGCACTCTTCCAAGTATTTCATCCCCATGGAAACCTGATGAACCAGCTCTATGATGTTCTTGTCCTTGACATGCCTGCGAGTCACAGGGGTACCATTAGCCACAGCGGAAGTGCCCACTTCAGAACAAGCAAACGGACAATGAATCCCCCCACCCCGGGCTGTTCTTCAGTAACAACACTGGCGAGTAGCAACAGGTAATTTGTCAGTGTACAGCAGTGCAAGACTGGACACTGGACACTGTTTAAAGGTTTGGTTGCCATGGCTTGCTTTGGATGACAAGCAGTGGAGCGGTCAGACCTGGCTCACAGACAGCCCAGCGTCAGTTGAAACCATTGCTCCAATACCGGGCAGGTAACCAAACCAACCCGTCTCTGTTGTGTACCCATTCGGGAGAAGTAACAGCTCTCCGTGTCACAGAGACCGAGGGGACACTCCGGGTACAGCAGGTCTCTGGTGCAGAGAGCAGGCTGGGTTCTGGTGGCTGACTGTGCCCTACTCCAAGTGTTGGCGACAGGATCAGTCACTGTACCTTATACTCCCAGAAGGGCTCACTCTCGGGCACTTGGCGGTCTGCCAAGCCACACAGCTGGCTAACACTAATCCAAACATCCCAGATCTGAAACGTCTCAAACGCTGAGATTTTTGAGCACATTCTAAGTGGAAAACTTGATAGTGGGAAACTCTGCTTCGGCCACAGAATTATTAAAAGTATTGTGGCAATGAATTTTGGGCCATGTGTATGAAGTGTGTATGAAACACAAATGAAGTTCATTGTCGCTCCCCCTCTTCGTGGAGGAACGACACAGGACCCTGCGCTGTTCTTTTGTCAGCTCGGCCCTCCCGGGTTTGCTACTGGTTCTTCCCGGGTTGGCTACTGTCCCTCAACCTCCGTGGAAGGGCGGTTCCCCCTGCCACTTTCCCCACTTCCGCGGGGGAGCGGCACACCGCCGGCCGGCTCTCTAGGGGGCTGCTCAGATGTTCCTGGTGCATGTTGTCTCTCTCCTCCTTTATAGTCCTCTTCCACCAATCCCAACTCTGCTACCCACATGCCGAGTACGCTGCTCTCCTCCAATCAGGAGCAGCTCCTGCAGCTTGTCAAGTTGGTGAGAAGCAGCTGTGTAGAAGCTGTTTACTCCTCTCCCAGCGCCATATTGTGGGAGAGCAGATGCATAGAATAAGTCTTAATTCCAGTAGCAGTCTAGTCCGAGTTGCTCCCCACAGTTCATGTTTAGACTGTGTCCCATTCTCAAGATATTTCATTATGTATATGCAAATATTCCTAAATCCCCCCAAAAAAATCAAATTTATAAACATACCTGGTACCAAGTATTTTGGCTAGCAGATACTTAACCTGTATGAAACATAACCATTACCCCTGAGAAAATGTTTCTTGAAAAAAAAATGTATTTTAGTGCCAGCATTGTGGTGTGGCAAGTTAAGCCACCACTTGCTAGCAGCTTTCGCCTGTGGATGTGAGCATTTGGGGAGTGAGCCAATAGATGGAAGATTTCTCTCTGTCTCTCTCCGCCTTTCAAATAAATAGACAAATCTTTGGGGGGAAAAAGTGTGTTCTGCCTAGGGAGGAGGGATTTTTTTTTTCCTTGAGGCTGATTCTTTCATGGAATCAGTACACAGACCTTCAAAAAAGTTGATGGAAAAAACTGAATTAAAAGATAAATTTATTTTGATACAACAAAATTTGAAATTCACAAATAGTTTTCTCATAATGCATATTTCCCAGAAACTTTTTAAAAATGTTTGTTTATTTGAAAGGCAGAGTGACAGAGACAAACAGGCATACACACACACACACACAGACATACAAAGAGAGAGAGAGAGAGTGCTTCCATCCACTGGTTCACTCCCCAAACGGTTGCAAGGGCCTGGGCTGGGCCATGCCAAAGCCAGAAGCCTGGAGCTCCAACTGAGTTTCCTTCTAGGGTGGCAGGGGCCCAGCACCTGGACCATCGTCTACTGCTTTCCCAGGCCATTAGCAGGGAGCTGGGTTAGAAATGAGCAGCTGGGACTGGAATCAGCGCTTCGATATGAGATACTGGCATTGCAAGCAGTGCCTTAAGCCACTGCACCATAATGCTGGCCCCATACATGTTTTCAAATATTATTTTAGTTTTTAAAATTTAGTCATTTGAAGAGAGAGAGAGACAGAGAGAGAGGGAGCAAGCGAGTGTCCCATTGGCTTGCCCATTCCCCCAAATATCCACAGTGGCCAGGGCTGCGCCCAGCTAAAGGTCTCCCATGTCGGTGGCAGGATCTCAGCCACTTTAGATACCACCACCTGCTGCCTTACGGGTGTACATTAGCCGCAAGCCGCGGTCAGGAGACCCCGACACTCTGCTGTGGGACGTCTTAGCCCGTAAAGGAAGAGAATGAGGATTCCGCTGCTGCATTGGAGCTTTCCCCGAGCGCCAAGAGTGAAAGAGCTGTGTCCAGAGACTCCTCTCGCGCCTCCCCTTCCCTGAGCGAGGACCAGCCTGGGCAGGCGTCCCGTGGAAGTGCCGTTGGCACACAGGTGGGAAGGTGGGTCCCCCCCTCCCCGTCCCCGGCCATCACAGCACAGCCTCTGTGCCTTCCGGGGAACCCAGTGATACCTGTTCTGTTGCAAGTACTTATTGAGAGGCCCGAGCTCCGCCATCTCCATCACCAGCATCCACGACTCGGCTTCGCAGATCCCGATCATGCGCACGATGTAGGGGTTGTCCAGCTGCTGCATGACGTTGGCTTCCGACAGCAGCTCGTCTTTCAGGGCCGGGTCGTTGGCCTCGTTCTTTAGTATTTTCACAGCCACCGTCTTCACCACCCTGCAAGAGAAATCGCAACATACAAAGCTTGCCAGGGGCCGGCGCTGTGGCACAGCGAGTTAACGCCCTGGCCTGAGGCACCGGCATCCCATGTGGGCGCCGGTTTGAGTCCCGGCTGCTCCACTTCTGATCCAGCTCTCTGCTGTGGCCTGGGAAAGCAGTGGAGGATGGCCCAAGTCCTTGGGCCCCTGCACCCACGTGGGAGACCCGGAAGAAGCTCTTGGCTCCTGGCTTCAGATTGGCGCAGCTCCGGCCATTGCAGCCAACTGGGGAGTGAACCAGTGGATGGAAGACCTCTCTCTCTCTCTCTCTCTCTCTTTTTACCTTTCCTCTCTGTGTAACTCTGACTTTCAAATGAACAAGTAAATCTTTAAAAAAAAAAAAAAACACTTGCAAGACTGGTTGACTTCTACCTACCAGTTGAGACCTTCTTCCCTGAAAGCCTTGGGACCACAAGTGTTTTCCCATTTCAGGATATTTGTGCACACATAATGTGCTATCATGGTATTGGGACCTGAGTCTACACACAAAATTCATGTATGTTGCACAGATACTGTATATATACAGCCTACACTGAATTTTACATGTGCAAGCATGCTTCAAAAAGTGTGTAGGAAGTGATATTACAAGATAAGTGGACTATGGTGCAAAAAAAAAAAAAAAAAAAAACCCAAAACTGAAATCCATGCATACAAAGGGTCTTCACAAAGATCATGGAAAATGTGCAATATGAAAAAGCTATGCAATGATTTCAAAATTTTTGTGCCAGAATAAACGTATCTTTTAATTCCATTTTCCAGTGTCTGGAAAATTTTCTGAAGTGTCTTTTCATTTTTAGTGCGCCTGCATTTCGACCGCGCCCTGTCACACGAGGCCAGGAGTGGCATTTTTCACTTGTGGCACCGTGTCCGTGCTCAAAACCGTCCAGATCCTGGAGCATTTCCTATTTCAGGCTTTCTGATTCGGGATGCTCACCCTGTAACGATCTTTTGTGAGGCATCACTCCCAGCAGCGAGAGTTAGGGAAATGTGGGCCACAGAACAGGAACGAAACAATGGGTAACAAATAGCTTAGCTTCCAACCACACTCTCCAGCTCATGCGCAAGGAGATTAGCATGCCATTAAAATAATCTAATCTTTTATCACAAGTGCCTGGGTTCTTCAAGTCCTGACTCCAGCTTCTGCTAACACAGGGAAGCAACAGGTGACGGCTCAGTACTTTGGTGTCTTCTACCACGTGGGACACTGAGTGAATTCTAAGCTCCTGGCTTCACTCTGTCTGAGACGTGGCTATTGCAGGCTTTGGGGTGTGAACCAGCAGGTGGAAGACGGATCGATCGATCGATCGATCTATCTATCTAATCTCTCTCTTTCTATCTCTCTATCTCTATCTCTATCTCCCTGCCTCTCAAACAAAATAATAGATAAAAATGAACAATAAAAGTGGGAGAAAGTGCTGAAGAATGCCCCAAACAAGCAAAACTGCAAAGTATAGCATATTTAATATGCTGCAATAATAGTTTTTGAATAAGCCTTACCAACCAGGACTTATTTGATTTCTGTAACGTCTCTTTACTGACTATCTCAGATTATGTGCATGAGCCTGAATATAAAATTTCTTTAATGTAAGTTGAAAATGAATTTCTGGGTGTGGCATCTATAAGCATATTGTGAAAACTCATTTAAGAAACACTTTGTTAATTTTAAGCAAGTCTCAATGATTTTGTAAAGTCTTTTTTAAATTGACCTTTAATTTTTTTAACGTTTATTTTAAAATTTATTTTCATCTATCTGAAAGGCAGAGTAGAAGCAGGAGAAAGAGAGAGAGAAAGACAGAGTGAGCCACTTCCACCTGATTCACTCCCCAAATGCCTGCAGCAGCCAGGAGCCTGGAGCCTGGAGCTTCATCTAGGTCTTCTATATGGGTGTCAGGGGCCCAAGCACTTGAACTATCATCTGCTGCCCCCCATCCACCCAGGATAAATTAGCTTGGAGCTGGATTGGAAACGAAGGAGCCAGGATTCAAACTGACACTCCAGCATGGGATGTTGACATCCCAAGTAGCGGCTTAATCTGCTACGGCACAAAAAGTTTGCAAAAAACAGATTATTCTTCATCGTCACATAAAGACACCACATCAGTCATGTTAACTGTTGGGAACACTCTCAGGGAGTGAGCTGTAGAAGGGAACTTAACAATGCACGGCTTGCAAAACTGCTCCTCTCTGCACGATGATTCTTACCGACGTGGAAAGAAGGTTCACTGCTTTTGTGGAATTCTCAAATTGGAGACCGAAAATAGCACTATCCAAGCTAAGAGGAAAACTAAGAGCAGAGCAGAGTAGGTCTGACACACACACAAGTTCAGTGATGTTGCTAAGGGAACACACCCGCAGCACCCCTGCAGCCTCCCAGGCCCACTCCTGAGACCATGGAAGTAACAGTCCAGACCCCTTATTGTTTTTTTCTTTTTTTTTTTAATTTTTTTGACAGAGTGGACCGTGAGAGAGAGAGAGAGACAGAGAGAAAGGTCTTTCTTTGCCGTTGGTTCACCCTCCAATGGCCACCGCGGCCGGCGCGCTGCGGCCAGCACACCGTGCTGATCCGAAGGCAGGAGCCAGGTGCTTCTCCTGGTCTCCCATGGGGTGCAGGGCCCAAGCACTTGGGCCATCCTCCACTGCACTCCCTGGCCACAGCAGAGAGCTGGCCTGGAAGAGGGGCAACCGGGACAGAATCTGGTGCCCCGACCGGGACTAGAACCCCGTGTGCTGGCGCTGCAAGGCGGAGGATTAGCCTAGTGAGCCGTGGGGCCGGCTTCCTTATTGTTTTAGTTTTCATGTCTCAGCGGCGCTTCCTCCACTGGGAGCCAATCTGGCGTCTGGTGTGAAATGGGGGTAACACGGAGAAGTAAAAAAGACCTCTTGATTCTTACACAGACTTAAGGGAGAAACCCCATTCACAAATCTCCTGGAAACATGGCCGAGGAAGGAAATTTCCCAATTCATTCAATAGGGCCAGCATCACTCTGATGCCGCTGCCAGATAAAGAAATCCTAAGAAAACAACGGACGGATGTGCCGCATGAACTTAGATGCAGAAGTTCTAGAGATAACAGTAAATTCAGGACTTATGAGAAGGATTTAATGCATTGTGAACAAGGAGGGCTTATTCCAGGACTGCAAGATGGGAGTCGTTTTGGAAATCAACCCCTGTCATTCACCATGGAGACGCTACAAAGGAGAGTAAGCTTACGGTCAGTTCCGTGGAGGAGATGCTAAAGTATTTCAGAAAAGCAAGATGGAAGGAAACTTCTTTAGTCCAGCAAAGATAACTAACACCATATCTAACGGTGAAACACTGACGGCTCCCCCCCCCCCCCCCCGATGCTGTTGTTTCGGTTCCCAGCTAGTCTGGCAAGGCAAGGAAAAATGCAAATAAGTGTAAGGATAGAACAGGATGGAAAAAAATCTTCCATCATTCACAGGTGATGCATTTTGGATCACAGCATGCCTTAACAATCTACTAGAAATAACAAAAGAGGAACAAGTACATTGTGACACTGCTGGGTTGTCAAGCTCACCTGTCAGGAGTGGAGAACTTTTCCCCGCCGTTTGGGTATTTATAACATCATTCATGGGTCAGACAATCATCAACTTAAAAACTAACCTGCTACAGATTTATTGAACGTGGCGTCCTGCCTGCGCTGCCATGACAAAGCCAAAGCACACGATCCCTGGGCCTTCTACGGCCTACAGGCTGGACTCTGTTGACCTCTGCCCTAAGTGATAAAATTAGCCATATTTCTACACCCAGCCAGTGTCAGGGATCAGGAAGTAAAAGAGGAAACAACACATGCTAAGATCAAAAGTGCCAAATACCCAAGAATGACTCTAAGGGTTGCTAAGACGTCTGCGCTGTGCACGGAGCAGCTCCGTGAAAGAAGCAGAGAGAAGCCGAGGGCCCACGTCAAAGTGGGGGTGGCCTACGCTGGTGCATGCAGAGGTTCAGTGCAGGAAAGACATCATTCCGCCCCAAACTGATCTAGACACCTGCGCTGTCCCCAAACCCTCATACTGAAATTACTTATCCATAGTCACACCTCCCTTCATTCACATATTTAAGCAAATATCACAAACTTTCACAAATGAGAGAATTTATGTCTTAATCCTGGGAAGTTTGCTTTCATTGTACAAAGTGATGCACGTAGAACAAGCACCATGGCCAACCTAGAGCGTGTGTGCAGATGTGGTATACACGTGTGTGTGTGTGTGTGTGTGTGTGTGTGTGTCTGAAAGACACAGCCTAGAGCAATAGACTTTAGGACTAATTTTGTCAACGGTTTTGATTCTCGAACTGTGTGAGTATTCCACTTACAAAAAAATCTTTCACAAAAACCTCTTAGATTGAAAACGACATGAAAGAAACCCAAGCACATTCCTGCCAGGACGAGTTCAAAGAAAGGCTTTGTCTCAAGGGACTTCAGAAGTCAATCCTGCTACTGAAAATTCTAAGTGGGTTCCCTTTTGGGCACCAAATGAAATACACAGGTAGTTTAGGAAATTAGCAATTTTAGCTGTGTCATATGTACTGATATTTGAAATGATAAGATAAAGCAAATGCATAATTATTCCAATGATACTCGGAATCCAAAATGTACTGGGTGAGAAAAAAAAAGAGATACAATTAAAAATCAAAGGAAGTAAGTGAAAACGCTGCATTGTTATCAATGAGTTATTTAATTTCAGGTAAATAGTGCATCCCTGCATGTGTGTGCCTAGAAAGATAAGAATACCTATACACTAAAGTTAGTTAGCAGTGGCGTTTGGGTGCCACAAATACGGTGTTTTCACATTATTTACACTTCTGCTTATTTCTATTTCCTAATTCTCTGTAATGCATAAGTGCTACATTGAAACCAAAATAGAAACACCACAGTTCATTTCCATAATGATGCTCCCATTATAATCATCCCAGAAATGAACAAATGTGGCCACGTTCATGGAAAGGCCATGGGCCTGCTGTGCTAAGTTCTGTGTTTGGGATTGACTACTCAGAAGAGCTGTCTCCTTGGAGGCTCCCAGAGTGGAGCTTGGATGAGACCAGCAGGGGGCGGGAGCTGGGAGACTTACTTTTTTTTTTTTTTTTTTTTTTTGACAGGCAGAGTGGACAGTGAGAGAGAGAGAGACAGAGAGAAAGGTCTTCCTTTGCCGTTGGGTCACCTTCCAATGGCCACCGCGGCCGGCATGCTGTGGCCGGCCCACCGCGCTGATCTGATGGCAGGAGCCAGGTGCTTCCTCCTGGTCTCCCATGCGGGTGCAGGGCCCAAGCACTTGGGCCATCCTCCACTGCACTCCCGGGCCATAGCAGAGAGCTGGGCTGGAAGAGGGGAAACCGGGACAGAATCCGGCGCCCCGACCGGGACTAGAACCTGGTGTGCCGGTGCCGCAGGCGGAGGATTAGCCTAGTGAGCCGCAGTGCCTGCCCAGATTTTTTTTTTTTTTTTTTGACAGGCAGAGTGGACAGTGAGAGAGAGAGACAGAGAGAAACGTCTTCCTTTGCTGTTGGTTCACCCTCCAATGGCTGCCACGGCCGGTGCGCTGCGGCCGGTGCACCGCACTGATCTGATGGCAGGAGCCAGGTGCTTCTCCTGGTCTCCCATGGCGTGCAGGGCCCAAGCACTTGGGCCATCCTCCACTGCACTCCTGGGCCACAGCAGAGGGCTGACCTGGAAGAGGAGCAACCGGGACAGAATCCGGCGCCCTGACCAGGACTAGAACCTGGTGTGCCAGCACCACAGGCTGAGGATTAGCCTATTGAGCCGCGACGCCAGCCAAGACTTACTTCTTCATTTGGTAGTAGCCCTTCTTCACGGTCCCGAAGTTGCCGGAGCCCAGTTCTTTGTCTTCCAGGGTCAGCAGCTTCCGGTCCAAGTAGACCTCTTTGGGCCTGATCTCCTCGGGGTCAGCATAGGGGCTCTCGTACACTTCTGTGTCCATGGGCATGGCTTCCCTCTGGGGGCCTGCAGCACAGTCAAGAAGCACACCCCCACCCCAGGGCTGGATCATTCTTGAGAGTTTGACCGAGCACAGCTCTTAACCCACCTGTGCTCACAACACACAGTCTCTGGGCACTGAGAACTCAAGGCGGGGGTGAGGGCATCAGCAAAGGGTCGTCACACCAGAGCCAGCCTTGGAGAGGCCCTGCCCAATGGCTGGGGTAGCTTCAGACCTGGTCTGAGAATTCTCTGATGCTCCTGCCACTGAGATGTGCAGCTGGCGTTAGCCACCCCCCACCCGCCCCCTTGCCACAGTGGCTTTCGTATGCATGTCAGCGGAAGTGAACATGCGACTTCCCGGGGCGGCTAGGACAGGCCGTGTGACAAGCAGCACTACCACCCCATGCCCTGCAGTGCCATGGGCTTTTGTTTCTTTTCGGCCACCTCCCTCTGGAAGCCTTCAGACACCCACCAGTGGTGGGGAAGCTCCCGCAGGCCCACTTGCAGAGACCAACCACAGAGGGCCTGAGACTCGGTGGAGACAGAAGAAGCCAGCAGTCGCCTCCACCCCTGCTGGCCCAGCTCCTGCCACCAGCTGGTGGTAACAGACCCTGAACAACAACCGCCCAGCTGAGCCTTGCCCAGTTTTCTGGCCTACAGGACAGAACTAATTAAAGAACTGGCATTCTTTTAAGTCAATAAATAGCAATCAATAGATCCAGCTAATGAATTAAAAATTGGGCCTCCTACAGACCCAAGATCTCATTTCTGAGAACCAGTCAGGGAAGGGGTGTGGAGTTGCTCCTGGGTGTGTTATTTTCCAAACTGTATCCTCTCATGGAATTCCCTAAGCACATGGAGAATTCTAGAAACTTCACCCATCGCTGCACCTTTGGCAGACACTGACCGGTGCACACAAGCCTCTTACCAAGAACATGACCTCCTGCAGGTAGAAACTTTAGGGTAAGCAGGAGTTACAAGGAATTCTGCAGCAGCAGCCTGGAGGTGTTCAACATGACCCACTGATTGTGGGGAGGCCTGGGAAAGGACCATTTCACCCTATAGAACACGTGACACTTGCTGCCAGCCACTGGGCGACAGGGCTGCTCACCGCCAACCATCACTATACCAGCTGCAGTTACACACAAGGCGGGTGGGTTCCTGCGCCCAGTCTGCAGGCTTCAAGGGACCCGGCGCCTACACTATGAAGAAGCGGTAAATAAAGGCGTCTCTCACCTCTGTCTGGCTCGTAGGGGTTGTACGAGATGCTGCTGTCCGGCCGGCTCCCTTGGGGCGGGGGTGGCTGCAGTACACACAGGACAAATAGGTCACTTTCTACCATCCACACACTGTTGAGTCGATCTGTATATTTTTATTTTAACTACCAACTCATCACATTGCAACATATGCAGGGAAGCCAATGAGCTAGCTAGGAAGACAGACACGGAAAGAACAGCGTTGACCTCATTCTTCTGGCAACTGTTTGGATTCTGGGAGCACGGGATCAAGCGTGTGCTGCTGAACCCCGGGGCTCGGCCAGGGCGTGCAGGGGGACGCGAGAACTCTCTGCTGAGCCAGAGTCCCCGCCCCTCCTTACTGCCGTTCACCTATTTCCTATTTCCACCTGCCGAAAGTGCAGGAGGATTTCTCTCTCTTGTTCCCTCTGGAGCTCTGCTCCTCCTCCAACTCTTCCCCTTTGGTTTTCATCTTATGTGGACATACGCTTTATGTCATGTGAAAATAACTCCCAACAGAAAAGTAAACAGCCCCTAGCGGCTCCCACTTACTGCCCCACTCCACGGGGACAGGTATGCATCCCAGTCCCCGGCTGCATCCTTATCTGGCAACATTGCGATCTGGCAACATGTGGGTCCATGCCAGAGGTGGCACAGGCCAGGGAGCTGAAGAGGAAGGCTGGCTGCCATGCACCCGGGACTACAGGGAGCCACTACTGTGGCTACTGCTGAGTACCGCAGTCACCGGCCCTGTGAGATGGGGAATCCTCTTTGTCCCCCTCACGGAAGGTAACTCTTCCGGGTACCCACTGCAAGTACCCAGAGCTCATCTGAAGCAAGGCTTTGCTCGCTGTTATTAAGGGCAAGCTCCCCTTTTATTGAATTGGTCATTTCTCAAATAAATTAGCAATCTGCATCATGAAATGACTGGGGAACAAAGCCTGCTCCTTGTATTCCTAGGAAGTTTCCTTTTGAAAATCCTTATCTCAGGGCCAGTGCTGTGGTGTAGCGGGTAAAGCCGCCGCCTGCAGCACTGGCATCCCATATGGGTGCCGGTTTGAGTCCCAGCTGCTCCACTTCTGATCCAGCTCCCTGCTAAGGCCTGGGAAAGCAGTACAAGGTGGCCCAAGTGCTTGGGCCCCTGCACTCGCATGGGAGACCTACAAGAAGCTCCTGGTTCCTGGCTTTGGATCGGCCCAGTTCTGGCCATCTGCTAAGGCCTGGGAAAGCAGTGGAGGATGGCCCAAGTTCATGGGCCCCTGCACCCACGTGGGAGACCTAGAGAAAGCTCCTGGCTCCTGGCTTTGGATCGGCCCAGTTGCGGCCATCTGGGGAGCGATCCAGTGGATGGAAGACCTCTCTCTGTATCTCTCCCTCTGTCTGTAACTCTGCCTTTCAAACAAATAAGTAAATCTTTAAAAAGAAAAAAAAAAGGAAAGAAAATCCTTATCTCGAGTCTTCCTGCTCGGCCTTCATGCCCAAACCAGAACGAGATTTCCCCAGGAAACCTAGTCCCCAGGAAAAACACCACTCACTGCCCTTCCAACCCCCATGGTTGGATGAGTTGAGCAGCAATTTTTACAACCGTGCACCTTATCAGTGTCCAAACACTGCCCGTGAAGATGTGAGATACCACATGACTCCGTAGAAATTTGAACAGAGGCATTAAGCATCGCACCACACAGTCCCTCGTCTTGCAACCCGCACTAATTCCCCGTGTGCTGTGCTGACGTTACGAGCCAGCAACACGGCCAGTGGCCGTGTGACTCCCGGTCTCCCGACTGCCCCCTCTCCTGCTGACTCCTGAGTGTCACGGAGCCTGGCGCTGCCAACAGAAGGCAGGCCCTTCTGCTGAGGCTACAGGGTACCTGTCCGATCTGTCGAGGGGTTGTCACTGAAGCCATTGTTGCCACGCTGCCTCTCTCAGCACTCCTGCTGAACAGTGTAAGAGAAGCAGCTGGCTGTATCCCCCCGCCCCACTCTGCTCTGGTGAGTGGCGGGGGTTGGAGAATGTTCTCTGTGGGAGACACGGATGGGGGTTCTCGCTGTGTTAGCAGAGCAGAGGGGACTTTATGATGGGGATGAAGGGATGCAGGCTTCCTCTCCCCTCCCCCCACCCCGAGTACTGATGGGAATGCGGTGTGGCTGAACAGAGCCAGATGAGGGTTACAACCCCTTGTAACAGTGCTGCAAGTGATTCACGATTTAATATGAAATCCTAAGGAAAAATATATGGCTGAGCCGGCGCCGCAGCTCACTAGGCTAATCCTCCGCCTTGCGGCTCCGGCACACCGGGTTCCAGTCCCGATCAGGGCACTGGATTCTGTCCCGGTTGCCCCTCTTCCAGGCCAGCTCTCTGCTGTGGCCAGGGAGTGCAGTGGAGGACGGCCCAAGTGCTTGGGCCCTGCACCCGCATGGCAGACCAGGAGGAAGCATCTGGCCCCTGGCTTCGGATCAGCGTGGTGTGCCGGCCACAGCGGCCATTGGAGGGTGAACCAACGGCAAAGGAAGACCTTTCTCTCTGTCTCTCTCTCTCACTGTCCACTCTGCCTGTCAAAAAAAAAAAAAAAATATATATATATATGGATGACCCGTGTGATCACTACTTGTCATCATTCTTCCTGCTTTGGATGTGACGTTTTCTATGTCAGTCAACGGTGTCACTTTTCCTGCACAGAGAACAGGTGTACAGGTGCAAAGGATGGCCTGACAGTTCCTTCCTCCCCTTTTTACCTATGCTCAGAACAGGAGTCACCCCTGCAGGCTACCACCAGAGGGCACTAGCTACCCAGCTTTTAACTTTTCAAATCTCCAGGTAGAAACCATCAATCCACAATGACTAAACATCGCGTTCAATTATAAACGATGGTCTTTGGTCTCTTGTTGGTAAGGCTTAACAGAAAACAGAAGATGTATCTGACAAATATTCTTCGAGTGCCTCTGTTTAAGAACTAGGCATAGAACTGAAATACACGTTTCTTTTGGTGCCCTGAAATATGAAATCTGTGTGTATGTGGGGTCTTCAAAAATGTCATGGAAAAAATGTATACTATGAAGAAAATGCATGGATGTATCCATTTTTTTGCACAGAAATACACTTATCTTTAAATTCCATTTCCATGAATTTTTTTAAAGAACACCTGTATGTCCTAATGTCTATTTTGTGAACTTTAAATTTTATTCCAATTTCTTGAAAGACATTTTCAAATTAGGCAATAACAGTCAGCAAATGGCAACATACTAAGTGGCAAGAAAAGCCAACTGGCTTCAGGCACATTGGCTGTGATAAGCTAGGTGTGGCTCCCAGTCTTAGCAGGAACACCCAATGTCCAATGGGGAATAAGACCCCCCTGGCTAATTGTGTACCTAGACACAAATTGAAAAGCATTGCCATCAGTGTGTGCATTGAAATTCTGGGACACATTTTGACTAAACCATCTAGACAGGGTGACTTTGAAATGCGAAGCTGACGGATGGTTTTTGGTTCTACAGGGTGCTATTGTTCAAGTCCCGCCCATTTCCCCCAGTAGAAGGATAAAGCCAACTTCTTAAGTGAATAAAGAAAAAAAAAACAGGACTCATCATTGGAGAGATTTTTTAAAATTAAGGTCTACCAGTACTTGTATTCTTTAGGCGAATAGATCGCTATTTCATACGGATAAATATGTCACTATTTCTAAAGTTTAAAATGCACCTGCCCCTTAATTTCTATTATGAAAATTTCAAATTATTTGATTAATAATGTTGACAAAGCATGCTGTTCATGAGCTATCTCGATGCAAGAGCTCACTCAAGTTCTAACGTGTGTGTTTTCCCCTAAATTATTAAGAACAGCTAATTACACTGAGCAAATTAACAAGTTCAAGAAACTGGTTTACCTCTCAGCTAAACAGAAGGAATAATTGACATCATGCCTGCAATTGTTTTCTCATGACTGGCTAGCTCATGGTTAGTTCCCCATCTGTTTGTGAAAACATAAATATTACGTCTTCTAAAATATTCCCGATAAGTAACAGAAATATTTTTAATTCATTGCCTACATCATATAATCCTGCCCCTTTATAATCACCTATTGATATTTTTGACTGCTATGAAACTCAATAGCTATGTCAACATTGTTACAAATGTAAGTAGGCAACAATCTGGTCCCTTCTCTTGCTCTCTCTCTCTCTCTCTCAGCCAGGAAAGTATTTTCATGATATTAGTCAGACTCATTCCTTTCTAGTATTTGATTCTCCCTTTTTAAACATTGATTTGAAATGTTAACAGGATGTTGGAGCCAGAAGACAATCCAGGTAAGCAGGCTGACTGGCAGCATTAAGGTCACGTGCCGCTGCACCCTCTTAATCAATGCTTCCACGGCGAGCAGGCAGGTCCCGGTTTCTGCTGCCCCGTGGGCCCAGTAAGGCTGACACATTTCCTGCTGGGCAACTCCTTGGCTAATGGCCACCGCTGTGTAACCCTGTGTGAGAGCAGCCAGTCCTGTGGGCTGTGTTCTGGTCACCTAGGCTGCTGGTGCTGTTGCCGCTTTCCTGTAATTTACCAAGATTCTCTGCCCATTATCCTGCTAATTGACCTTCCTCATTGATTTATAGAAGCTGTTATTATATTAAAGATACTGACTTTACAGATGTCATCATTACTAATATTTGGTCCAATTGTTTATTTCCCTTTTGATGATGTTATTGCTTTTATTCAACGTGTATGTTTATTTATATTTCATTGTATTTACAGAAATCTGCTTCCAGTTTCCCTATACATGAGCTCTTTCAGTCTAAAGTTCACTCAAGCTTATTTTCTAGGCATTTCTTTAGTTACTGTGAGTGATCCAAGTTAGCAGAAGCCTAGTGAGAGAATGGCACAGGGTGGGACTGGGGCTTGCGTCGCCTAAGACTGCGTTCCTGTTTGGGGGGTGTGATGGCTCTCGGCGCATCATCCTGGCTAGCCTGATGATGGTTATTGAATCAAACAGTAATCCAGGTGCTGCCGTGAAGACGCTGGGCAAATACAGTTACGGTGGATTTATAATGTGACTCAGCGGATTTACATAAGGAAATTGTCCTGGTGAACCTGATTTCATCTGCTGAGAGTCTTCAAAAAGAGTTAAGGCTTTCCCAAGACCTGGAAAGAGAAAGCGAGAGCGAGAGCGAGAGAGAGAGAGGTGGGGAGAGGCTGATTCACCTGCACCGTGAACAGTAACTCTGGCCATGCCTGCGAGGCTCTCTCCTAACCCTCGTCATGCCCCCAAAGCTTGCCCTGTAGACACTGGATTTGCCTAGCCAGCCCCAGCAATGACGTAAATCCTTGTAGTAAATCAATGCGTGTGTGGATGCACGTATGTAATGAGTCTGTGTTGTACATGTATGTAAAATACATCTCCATATGCAGAAATATATTAATTCACAAATATGTATAAGGGTACTTCAAAAAGTTTACAGAAAAAGGTAATTCGAAAATAAATGTACGTTGGTGCAAAAAGCACTTGAAATTCAGGCATGGTTTTTTTCTCACTATGCATTTTCTGTGAAGTTTTTGAAGACTCCTTGATGTGGCTGTAAATATGAGCACGTATGTACAGACGTATGTGTGTATGTGTGTGCAGGTCACATATGCACTACATCTGTGCATGTGTGTGTCTGTTTCACAAGCAGTCTCCTATTGGCCAAGCTGCTTTGGTTGAAGTCTGAGTGATACACTTGGATATTACAGAATTTTTTTTAGGATTTTATTTATTTGAGAGGTAGAGTTATAGACAGTGAGAGGGAGAGACAGAGAGAAAGGTCCTCTATTCACTGGTTCACTCCCCAAATGGCCACAATGGCTGGAGATGCGCTGATCCAAAACCCGAAGACAGGCGCCTCTTCCGGGTCTCCCACGTGGCTGCAGAGGCCCAAGGACTTGAGCCATCCTCCACTGCTTTCCCAGGCCATAGCAGAGAGCTGGATTGGAAAAGGAGCAGCCGGGACTAGAACGGGAGCCCATAGGATGCTGGCGCCACAGGCGGAGGATTAACCCACAGCACCACAGCGCCAGCCCCTTGATATTACAGAATTAAGACAAGAATAGCATGCTGCATCTAATCTGTTCACAGTGAAATCCCACTGCTGGGACTGCACATGGGCTGGGGGCTGAGCTGGCACACGGGCTTCGGGCCATGCTAAGTAGCACGATCAACTAAAAAGTGGAGTGAGGGCCTGGCGCTGTGGCACAGAGAGTGAAAGCCCCAGCCTGCAGTGGGGGCATCCAACATGGGCACTGCTTTGAGTCCCGTCTGCTCCACTTCTGATCCAGCTCTCTGCTAATGTGCCTGGGAAAGCAGTGGGAGATGACATATCTGTCTCTCTCTCTCTCTTTCTGCCTTTGAAATAAATAAATTAAACATTTAAAGAAAAATAGGGGAAACAAACCCTTCTTTTCACTTTTCTGCAAAATTTGATCATACATCTAAATCAAAAATCCGTCAGACATCAACATTACTGCCTCAAAAAGAAAAACATTTTTCTGGGGCCAGCGCTGTAACGTAATGGGTTAAAGCCCTGGTCTGCAGTGCCAGTGTCCCATATGGGTGCCAGTTTGGGTCTCCGCTGCTCCACTTCCGATCTGGCTCTCTGCTGTGGCCTGGGAAAGCAGTAGAAGATGGCCCAAGTCCTTGGGCCCTGCACCCACATGGGAGACCTGGAGGAAGCTCCTGGCTCCTGGCTTCGGTTCAGCTCAGCTCCAGCCATTGTGGCCATCTGGGGAGTGAACCAGTGGATGGAAGGCCCCCCCACCCCCACTCTGCCTCTGCCTCTCTGTAACCCTTCCTTTCAAATACGTAAATAAATCTTTTTAAAAAGAGAGAGAAACATTTTTCTAGTCCTCGAGTTCTATTTCTTTTTTTATGTGTTATATTTAAACTACGTTTTTTTCCTGTTAGGTTGGAAATCTGCCAATAATGAAGCTATTAAAGAATATTAGATAGGGAGTTAGGGTAAACCAGCAGTCAGAATGGTGAACTCTGATTAATTCTGTGTTAGCCTCTCACAGTGATAATGAAGCCCTTGCTATCTGTCACCTCTCTAGCTCCCATCACTAGCACACATGGCCAGCCGCTCCTCACAGCATCATTTACACAATCCATTGCTTTCCCATGGCAACACGTGGCTCTGGCAACCCAAAGGTAAGCTGGCTGTCTCTGAAAAGATTTTCTGCGACCAGAGTGAGCCGCCACCATCACGCTGACGGAAAGGACTTCGCAGCCCCGCTGCAGCAGAGAGAGTGTGCGGACACGGATGCACGGGACTGCCACTCGACAGGGGGGACCCACAGGAAAAGCACAGGGTGCACCTCGAGCGCAGACGGCCCAGGACTGGCAGGTGTGCACGGCGGCTGCACACGGCAGAGGCGTGGAAGCAGAGTGGCGGGAGCGTGAACAAGAGACGCATACGCAGGGCAGACCAGACAGCCGGAGGCGCGGGGACGAGCGCGGGTCAGTCCTACCACTTAGGGAGAGCGAGAGGGGACGCTTTAGCACCTTTTTGGAGCCAGGCTTTGGGAAGGAGTAAGATTTGATTCTGGAGATTATTCCACCCGCCGACCACGCCTAGAAACCATAACGGCAAAGAGGAACAGTCAATTTAGTCTCAGAAAACAAACACAGGGTCCCTCCTGTGACATGACATCGTAACCTGCTTCTGTAATCGCACCACCAGCCCCTCCCCACCCTACAAAGAGATGTGTCATGGGCAAAGCCTGGTCATTTGGAATGCTTCCAGAAAACCTTGCTACTGGGGCAGAGGGACCTAGAAAAACATTAGGGAAATATTGGCCATGGAAGGGCTACCCAATAAAAGCTACAGCAGTCAGCAGCTGGTGTTACCTGCACATCATTCATTCCTAAGCTGAAGGCAAACCACTCTCCCGAAGCTTCAGCTACACTTGAATGCTCAAGTGTACTGCATTGCTTCCAAGGTGTTTGTGGAAATTTGCTGAGTAGCACACGTGGGGCATCTGCCATTTTTCTGCATGTGTTTTAGCATTCAATAAAAATGTATTCCAAAGTATTTAACTTCTTGAAGCGACTGGGCGATGCCTGGTTAAATATGGGGCTTGATCATCTTAAGGTTTTAAGCCCTAACCCTTCTTCCATCTCAAAGGAAAAGGGGTCTGCTCCATGCAGCACAGAATATTAATATTCGGCTGCCAGGCCCATGAGTGCTGTCAAGGGTAAAATGAAGAGCCAGCTCTGCAAGGACCCTGCGTTTTAGATGCTGGATCCAAAGTTCACTGGTATTTCAGCAAGTCCAAGTGCTCCCAGTCGGAGGACAAGTGACTGCCCCTGCAGGGGCACCCCTGCCCTGCCAGCTTCAAGGTGGACTTATCTCCTACAGGAGGCAGATGTAGATTTGAGTTTCTGTGGATTTTGTCTGTCAGGGCTCAGCAGGCAAAAAGTCAGGTGAAGATGGCATTAAAGGGCATTGCCAAGTCCACACTGACGCAGGAAATGCATTCCTGCTTTGAGTATAAATCCACACTTCAGCTCTAAGAGTCTGCAGGGAGAGGAAAAAAGGCTTCTCCCCCTGCACGGGCATCAGCCACGCCACGAGAAAAGCCGCATGGAGGTGTGCACAGGCCACATTCTCACTGGTGTGGATTGGGAGGGGAGCCCTGGCCAAGCCTGCCCTACTCCATCTGTCTCAGTGGGCTTCTCTTATCTCATCCCAGGAAGCCTTCCACCAACCTTTAGTTGAACCAATTCATGCAGACAGGCCAAGTCCCCTGGGAGCAACGTGGCATCTGATCCAACCCAAAGAACAGGGCCAACAATCTCGGGGAGACATCTTGTCTACCAGCCATGCAATACTGACCGTACACGTGGCCCGTGGGTGACACACATCTGTCGTCAGCGGTGGCTCATCAGATCTAGTGGGAGGCCTTTTCTGACTTACATTAGCTTTCATGTTCATTTTAGAAAATGGGGAGAAGCCAAGAAATTCACACAACTTGGCAGCTTTAACAGTGCCCTGATGTCCACCTAACACCCACTAGACGCCCCCAAGTCAGCAAGGGGCTTGTTTGCCTACTACTCCCGTTACTTTTCAACTGTGTTAGCAATGGCTTCACCTGCAGATTATTTCTAGTAACACTTACCGCAGGATGGGAGCTTGGAAGTTGTGGGCGAGCGTCAAAATTAACATTTCCTGATTAGAAAGAGCATGGACAATTATTGCAATAGCAAGGAACCACCTCCTTACAGATCAAGCAGTGTGACTGACATGGCTGCTCAAGAAATAGATACACCGTCTGCACAGCTTCCCTTCCATCCTCTTTCAATACCTTTTGCATACATGCAATTAACATGAATTCATTTTTCATTTTAATTTTTGGCTATTTTCGCATCCCCGAGAACTAAAATTGGAGCGACCGGATATCATGTTTAATCCATCAGTAAAAATCAGAATTCATCCAACCTGAATTTGCAACAGGCCAAATCTACAATGAGTGGACACTGACCAATGTGCAAAAGGCCGAAACTCCCGTGACTTAGCAACTCACCCATCTGCGTGCCAATTTTTTGACATGGAACCGTAAGGACTCGTAACAAACCATCGGGTTTGTAAGAATAATGCTCCACCAGCTGGAAGTAAGCAAGAAAGCGCAGTGAGTACGAGGGCAGGATGTTGAGGCATCGGGCCTGAGAGCCGCTGACTGCCCCTTGGGCTTCTGTGGTGACTGGAGCCCTCTTGAGTCTGCTGTGTCCAGAAATCCCACTCTACCAGCATGGCCAGAGGTGGATGCACACCCAAGGGTTTCCCTCTTGGGCAGGAGTCAGCAATCGTTTTCTGTAGAGGGCCAGTTTGTGCTAGGTTAGGCTTCTGTGGGCCACACACCTCATCCTTTACCCAGTTATTTCTCATCAGCATAGAAACCATTGTCTCCACGGACTACACAGGACATGCTGGGAGCCAGGTTTGCTCTGTGGCTCGCAGACCCTGATGGAAAGGAAAGAGTATTTAAGTAGGCTAAGTGCAGCAATGGCCGGCGCCCAGCACAACAGGACTAGGGCCCTGGAGTCACCGCAGGGTATGCAGGTACCTTACAGTGCTGGCAAGAAAAGCCAACGAAATCCTACACATGACAATGGACAGTATGGCGGGCATTTCTGATGTACCTTCCTGAACACAGCGGCCAGGAAATACTCAACGAGGAACACTTAGGGAGGGCAGAACACTACAACAGACCAGCGGAATCGGTAAAAAATAGAGAGGCCTCCCGGGAAGGAGCTATCCAACAATCAGAGGTGCTTGACACAAAGGAAGTGCACAGCCCTGGGAGTGGTGAGTGGATGCCACACAAGCAAACAGTCGTGTGGGAAAGGTCGAATCCTGTATGAGGGCCAGCCCGGTGCCCAGGAAGGCCAGCCTTGTTTCCTAGGTTCCCTTAATCTCCACCAAGAGAGACTTGCTTTGCCTGAGGATGGTACCAGCCATTGACAGCCCACTAGAACATCCCCCAGGTCCAAGAACTGGCTGCTGTATGCCTGCTTCCCTGGCCAGCCATGCCTTGTTTTGTGTACATTTGCCAGAAAGGCTGGTCCAGTTACAATGTGTCCTAGCACCCGAAGGCCTGTGGTTATACCCTGGAAGGGTCTGTGGTTATGCCCTGGACAATCATCATCACGCAGAGACCTGTGTGGCCCTGGACAGGCATCAGAACCTTGCAGAGCCCGGTGCACCTGACACGATGGTCCCCAGGTCCCCAGACAAGTGCTTCGCTGCCATATAAGTCACCTGAGGCTGGAACATAGGCTCTGGTACAGCAGATGGGGCAAAGCCTGGGGGTGTGTTTCTAACAAGCAGGGGCTGCTGCTGGTCTGGGGGCCACCCGGTGGACAGTGGGCAGCCCAGGCCTGCTCATTTCTGTCTCTGGGACATGTCTCTGTGCTCCGCCCCTGAGGACCGGGGAGGGGCCAAGCTGTACCTGCCAGAGTGTGTCGAACTTCTTCCCCTCTGGGATGGAGAGCTTCCCGGTTTTGTCTTTGTCGATGCGGTAGTGCAGCACCTTCCCCTCGTGCAGCAGGCACAGCGCGTAGGAGCCATTGTTGTCTCTGGCCCTGATCCTGCAAGAGAGGATACCACTCTATCAGTCCCACCCAACCAGCTCCAGGCGCACCCTGGTTGGTGTGGGCAGTGGGCACTCTCCATGAAACGCCAGTGGGGAGAGAGAGCTGTGGGCAGCAGAACCCAGCCTCAAGGTCAAGGGCTCTGCCCAACATACCCAGGAAGGCCTGGCTTACAGCCCAAGGATGATGTCAGTGGGCTGGCAACAAGGGAATGGTAGCAGGGTGAGGATGCACCATGGCTAGGCTCCAGCAGGGCCTGGGGAGCCAGGGGCTCAATCAGGAGAACTGGGGCGGGAGGTTGTATGGGCAGTCACACAACCCAGGTACGAGCTCACATGATGCTTGTAAAGGACTCACCTCCTTTCCCCCACTGAGGTCTGTGTTCAGGTCAGATCCACAGATGGTACAGGGGTGCCTGATGGACATTTTAACTGGAAAGGGTCCAAGACCACAGATGGAGAGTTGGGAAGCCCTCCGTCCCCCAGTGCCTCCCTCACCCCTCCCACCTGCCCACGGCTGGGAGGGAGGTACCAGGCAGTAAGCAACGTGTGCCCATGCACCATTCTCAGGCTGTACAGCACCCTGTCCCCAGCTGCCAGGGGGCGTCTATGGGTGTTACCAGGGGAGATTTCTGATGCCCCCTCTGGCTTGCAGGAGGTCACATCCAAGGCCACACGAGAACTGATACAGGGGACACTTGTGGGTGTTACTGGGGGATTTCTGAAGCCTTCTCTGGGTTGCAAGCCACCAGGAGAGCTGAGATAGGTTTTGGAGCCACCTGTGGCCTCACTTTCCCCCCTGCTGGGCAGAGAAGGGCCACGTAGAGGTTTGAAAGCCGGATGATGCCACAGGGGATGGAAACCTCAAAAATAAACTTGTTTTCAAGTGCACAGTGGACAGCGCGCCTCCACGCGCTGCTGCTCGGAGGACATACCCCAGACCCTTCCTACCTCGGCCAGAGCTATTCTGACATTTTGCTGCTGTAAAGACAGTCCCCTGGCTGCCAAACCAGCGAGCCATCAGCACCATAAAGTGTGGGCTCCCTTTTCACGGTCACATGGCCAATTCGAGGCAGGAGCTGGTTTCTGTTCAACCAAGCAAACCAAAGAAAAAGAACCACGCACAGATGCAGGGGTAGCTGCATCTCGCACAGGGCAGCTGCTTCACACTGCGGCACGGTTTGTGCCTGTTTTGCTTATTTTGTAAACATCAGTGGCTCACAGACAGGAGCGTTTGGAAGTACAGAGAATTATGCAGAGAGACCAAAGCCCAAAGGTGGACTTGCCTGCCTGCAAAAATTGGCCATGGGAGGAAGATGACCAGAGGCCACCCATATACACATTGAGAGCCCAAGAGAAATCCCCTGGCACAATCTTCACCCTGGCAAAAGTGAAAATGATGGAAAATGTCAAGTGCTGCTGAGACCAGGGAGCAGCGGGAGTTCCCATGTGCAGTCACTGGGCGCATCAGGCAGTTTAACCACTTTGGAAAATACTGACAATGACCTTCTGACACGGAAGCTATGCATACCCGTGGGGCTTAGCAAATTCACTCCCAAGCTTAGGAGCTGCGTGCACAGTGCCCCCAGCCGAGGTGCCGGGGTGTTCATGCCAGCTTTATCCGCACTTGCCAAAAACTTCACAACCTACATACTTGTTGACCACAGAGGGAATAAATACATCAGATGATAAACTTAGCCGTGCAATAAAATATGATCAAGCAAAAAAGTGAACACACGGCAGGCTTGTCAAGACAGCTGAGTCACACGAGCATAAAATACACTCCCCAATTCCATACGCACAAAGTTCCCTCACAGACAGAAGCCAACAGTTTTGTTTGGAGTTGCCCATCTAGCCAGGGCACACTCAACCCCAGGGCCCGGGATGTGGGACCTCTCAGAGGGGGCAGGTGGATGGTGTAGAGGAGTGTGTGTGTGTGTGTGTGTGTGTGTGGAGGGGGGTGTCTCCTGCAGCCCTGGCTCTGGTTTATTTCTTGATTAAGGTGGTGTTGGCTTGAGAATTCTTCCTTAAGTTGTACCTCTATAGTTATGGCCTCATGTGTGCTTTGCAGTTCGCAGTACAAATAGTATAAAGCAGAGCTGGGGGCAGGTGTTTGGCTTAAGGGTTTAGATGTCCATTAGGATGCCCATATCCCATACCAGAGTACCAGAGCTCCACTCCTGACTCCAGTGACCGGGCCCCTGCCAGCTGTGTGGAAGACCTGGATCCACTTCCTAGCTCCCTACTTCAGCCCGGTCCAGCCCTGGACGGGGAAGACATTTGGGAAGTAAACTGCTTATGGGAGCTTTCTGTCTGCCTCTCAAATAAATTATATATATATATATATAAACAGCTGGTCAAGGAGGAAACAAAGAAGTTAGAGAAGACCTTGCCTTTGGACAAGCGACACCTGCAAGTGTCCCACTCCCCGAGGCTGGCCAAGGGAATGCAGCAGCCCTACAGGGTATTCCCACCGGGCAGCCTGTGCAAGCTCCCAGCGTAACCAGCAGGTACCGCACACCCGTGGACAACGGCCTGAGCAGGCCCTCTGGCAGCTGGCAGGAAATGGGGGAGCAGAAGGGAAACCCACAGGCCCAGCATCTGTAGGTGGCAAAGACCAGAAGGCTCAGCGGCATCAACGGCCAACTGTGAGGTATCTGTTGGCTGCAGGCAGATCCTGGGCGGGGCTCTCGCTCTTGTGACGTGGGAGAAAAACTGGGTTGGCAGCTGCAGGCTGGCCACCTCCTGATGATGAGAAGTCTCCCTTGGCGGGGGCACACCCACCCAGTTTGGGATGAGAGCAAGGGCAAGCTTCCCTATTCCTGTCTATTGGGATTCAGTTGGCTCCAGGCTGTTCACGGGTACCCTTGAATATTTTCTGAACAAGATGTAAGCTATGAGATGTGTGTTTGGTTGTTACAAAGCCTGGGATTTCTGAGACTTGACCTTGAGGTCATGCCAAAGGACCATGCTTGGCCTCCTTGCAGCCTGGCCACTCCTCGGGCTGTGTTGGGCAGGCCTCACTACTGCAACTGTGACAGCAGCAGGAGCGTTAATTCTGCTGGGGCACCGCCTGGAAGAACGGAAACCCTTCACCACCCTCTTGTGCCGTCTGGGGGTGGGATCATGAGTGCTGGGGACGCCGGGCACTGGGGTGGGGTGGGGTGGGGAAGTGAAGACTCCAGTGGCGGGAGATGCTTGAGGCAGCCTTCCATGGCTCCTGGGACATGGGCTGTGTCTGCCGTGGGAGCCCATGCCAGCCCATGAGGCGTTCCCATTATTCCCTTCTGCTTCTCCATGGCAGGTGCAGTGCCACGGGTAGGACATCCGTCCACGGTGCACTGTGATAATGTGGCAGTGGGCCTGACGATGCAGGCAGCTCCTAAGTGACCAAAGGGTGGGTGGCACGTACAGCGTGGATACACTGGACGTGGAACGACCCACGTCCTGGGCAGCTGGGAGGCCTGATGTGAGAGTCCATGTACACTGCTCAGAGTAGGGTACAGTTTGTACCTTGTGAATGGTCTATTTCTGGAATTTTCCATATTTTCAGACTTTAGCTGGCCGCGGCTAGCTAAAGCCATGGAAAGTGAAACCATGGATGGGTGGGGGCTGCTGTCGTGGCCCCATTTCATTATTGAGTAAACTGAGGATCAAGGGAAGAAATTAAATTGTCTGACTCCCAGTGCTCCCATGGGGCAAGGCAGATGTAACAGAGGATACACCTGTCTCAAGCAGTCAACTCCCACAGCGACTGGTGCTGCTGCAGGGACACACCCAGCTGCCAAGTGGGTGACCCCTGGAGACGTCCAGGTGTCACGGCTCTTCATGCAGCCCAGGTAGGCATCAGGCACCTCAAGCGGGCTCCCAAGGCCAGCAGAAAGGCATCATGTGAGACCTTGTTGGAAATGCAAACTGTAGACCCTAACCCCGGTCTCGTAACCTAAAAACCAAGGGTGTGAGGGTTGCCGGTGTTGTGGCATAGAGGTTTGTGTCCCAGCTGCTCCACTTCTGATCCAGCTTCCTGCTAATGGCCTGGGGGAAGCAGTGCAGGATGGCCCAAGTGCTTGGGCCCTGCACCTGCATGGGAGACCAGGAGGAAGCGCCTGGTTCCTGGCTTCGGCGGCCATTTTGGGGGTGAACCAATGGAAAAGGAAGACCTTTCTCTCTGTCTCGCTCTTTCTCACTGTCTAACTCTGCCTGTCAAAAAAAAAAAAAAAAAAAAAAAGGAATACGCAATTGTCTGTACATAGGAGCTGTCACAGTTCTCCAAGCAATGGGCCATTTTGTGAATCTGATTTTTTCACAGCTATTTTATACTCAGATTGTCACTGAAAAGGGTGAGGGATGCCCATTTCCCAAGAGAGTTGCCTGCCCACCACCCAGGCCTCATGGTGAGCAGGAGACAGGGAGGGCATGGGCAATGACAAGGTTGTCATGATAGCGAAGGGTGATGGCTGTCACATCTGCTGTCCCGCGCCAGGTCCACCAGGTCCACTCCTGGACAAGGTCCACATGGGTCTGACTTGTATGTCCCTGGTTGTGGGTGGACACAACCGATCTTAGCAAGCCAGAGCCACCAAACCATCTAATCCCCAGTTCTACCAAATGGTATAGACCCCTCTGGGCCACTCATTCTGATGCTCACTGGTTGATCCTGCAGGGCCTCCCATGGGGCCCTGACCTTGAGGCATGAATCTGTGTGTGTGTGCATGCATGTTTGTGTGTGTCCATGCATGTGTGTGTGCACACATGTTTTAGTGTGTGCATGTTTGTGCACCTGTGTGCATATTTGTGTAGATGTATGTTTTGTGTGTTTGTGTACATGCATGTTTTGTGTTTGTGTGTCTCTGTGTGCATATTTGTGTAGATGTATGTTTTGTGTGTTTGTGTGTCTCTGTGTGCATATTTGTGTAGATGTATGTTTTGTGTGTTTGTGTACATGCATGTTTTGTGTTTGTGTGTCTCTGCGTGCATGTTTATGTGCGTGCATATGTTGTATGTGCACGTATGTTTGTGCGTGTATGCATGTTTTGTGTGTTTCTGTGTGCATGTTTGTGTGTGCACATGTTTTGTGTTTGTGTCTGTGTGCATGTTTGTGTGCATGCATGTGTTGTGTGTGCATGTATGTTTGTGTATGTGTGTGTGTGTCTGTATGTAAAGAGAGGATGGGGTGGTGCTGGGGTGTAATGAGGAGCATGATGGAGGGTGGGAGGGGAGAGGTGGGAGGGAGAGAGAAATGGCGACTGGCTAATAAGAAGAGGAGTGACTCAAAGGTTCAAGCGCTTACTGCTCCTTGAAAGGGAAGGGAAGGAAGACCAGGAGGACGTCCGGACTTCAGATGCGGAGCACAAAGGGACATGCCACCCAGGAGGGTTGATTGTCCTCTTTTGTCCCTCCTCCCATCCAGTAGCAGCCCTGTCCCTCTCCAAACGTCCCCATTTGGAAAAAAAATCACACAGTCAGTTCCCCAGGAGGCCCTTCTGTCAGGCCCACACACCTCCCTCCCCACACCTGGCCGCGCCACACTTTGGTCACACCGTGTTCTGGCCGTACTGTGGACCCCCAAATCCCTTCACAGACACGCCTCCTGCTGGGCCAAACTCCTGCTTCTCTGCTAACTCCACCCTCACCACTCAGAGCCCAGCCTGAACATCGCCCCAGAGAGACTCCTCTTAGCAGGACACGGTCTTGCATGCCGGGACTGTGCCCCTGAGGACCACAGCCCCGTCCCTGTTCCTGAGACACTGACAGCACGTGGGAGTGAGGGACCCCAAACAAGTAAAGGGAAACAAAACACAGTTCAGGCAGTTGCAACGACATCCAGGTCCAGGTGACAACTGTGGTGCTGAGTGGCACACTGGCACACGTCACAGACTGTAGCACGCCAGCTTGAGTTCAACATCTCCCCGGCATTGTAACTCTGATGAAGCAGGGACACAGCTCTGTGGGACCCATCACAGGGTCCCAACAAGCCAGGCAGAGCAGGCCTAGGGGGTGTGGGCAGCCAGGGATGCTAGTGTCTGGGATGTGAGCACCTACAAGGGACAAACAGGCAACTGTGGAGCAAGAATTCTATCCAGGGAGAACTACTGGGGGACGTGGTGAGCATGCAGAAGCCCAGGCCCCTCGTCCTTGGGACCCCTATGCATGATGAGCTCTGGCACCAGCTGAGCCCCAGTGTTGGGGCGTGTGTGTGTGTGTGTGGTGGGAGGAGATGTGCTGTGGGACAAGCGAGATGTCACTCTGTGCAGGGGGACAAGCAATAAGGAACGTGAGGCCAGTAAGAGTTGCACACAGGGACTTCCTGCCTTCAGCTCAGGGTCTATTTTTATCCACATCTCCAGGAAAGAACAGCAGAAGTGGGGATCTTGCAGGGTGCAGTCGCTGTTCCAAGAATAGACAGCGCTTTTTAAAGAAAACTTTTAAGCAGTAGAAGATGGCCCAAGTCCTTGGGTCCCTGCACCTGTGTGCGAGACCCGGAAGAAGCTTCCGGTTCCTGGCTTCTCGCTGGTTTACTTCTCAATTCCCACAACAGCTGCAGCTAAGACAGGTCAAAGTCAGCAGCCAGAAATTCCATCTGAGTCTCCCATATGGGTATCAGGGACCCAGCTACTTGAACCATCATCCCCTGCTGCCTTCCAGGTGTGCATGAGCAGAAAGCCGGACTTGGAACACAGCCAGGACTCGAACCCAGGCCCCTGTCAGACGTCGACTGAACCATAGTGCCAAATGTCTGCCCCTGGGGAACAGATCATTCTTCTTAAAAATCTCAAGGTTGCAGCTGTTCCCCAAAGAGCTGAAGCCCAGGCTCTGTAGCTAGTGGGAAGTCAGCAGGCCCCATCACTTGGTCTGTGCTATTTTGGGCTCACTTCATGCACCAAGATGCTGTGTGCACAGTCCCATGACATTTCTGTAGGAAATTATTGCTGAGTGTTTGGTAAAAGTCCAAACCTCAGGGGAAATGGGCTCGTATGTGGCTCTCCTAATGCTGTCTCTCCACACAGCATTGTCGTCAGGGGCTGGGACTACATCCCACGGAACACCCATGCCACCCCATGTCACCAGCGGGTGACAAGTTTGTTACTCTTGCTTTTTACAAGAGCATCATGGGGGCAAGCAAGGGCACAGCGACTAAGGCACTGCTGGGGTGTCGCTCCCCCTCTTCGTGGAGGAACGACACAGGACCCTGCGCTGTTCTTTCGTCTGCTCGGCCCTCCCCGGGTTTGCTGCTGGTTCTTCCCGGGTTGGCTACTATCCCTTCCACCTCCGTGGAAGGGCAGTTCCCCCTGGCCACATTCCCCACTTCCGCAGGGGAGCGGCACACCGCCGGCCGGTTCTCTCGGGGGCTGCACGGGTTCCCTTAGATGTTCCCCATAGATGTTCCCGGTGCATGCCGTCTCTCTCCTCCTTTATAGTCCTCCTCCGCCAATCCCAACTCGGCTGCCCACACGCCGAGTACGCTGCTCTCCAATCAGGAGCAAGTCCTACAGTTAATTGGTTGAACTGGAGGCAGCTGTGCGAAAGCTGTTTACTTCTCTCCCAGCGCCATATTGTGGGAGAGCAGATGCATAGAATAAGTCTTAATTCGAGTAACTTAGTCTAGTCCGGATTGCTCCCCACACTGGGGGGCCTGCATTGCACACCAGAGCGCCCGGGTTCCAGTCCTGGTCCTGCTTCTGACTCCAGCTTCTTGCTCGTGTGCGCCGTGGGAGGCAGCAGGTGACGGCTGAATTAGCTGCATCTCTGCTGTCCATGTGGGAGACCTGGATTGGGTTCTCAGCTCCTGGCTTCAGCCTAGCTGGGTCCTGGCTCTGCAGGCATTTGGAGAATGAACCAGCAGATGGAAAATCTCTTTGCCTTTAATTTAAGTTTAAACAGAGCATTGTGTTTAAGATCCGTTGCAAGGTAAGAGGGACTGTGCTAAAGTGTGTGGAAAATTCTAAATACACTCACAGAAGACCCTCCTATGGGAGGACAAGTTGACAGAGTCTGCTGGGGCTAATCAATGTGCCTGAGCCAGTGTCGTTCTTTCTGCTTCCATCTGCAAGGCCAGACAGAGCTGTTGTCCTCAGGGGACCCCGGGAAGCAACACTGAGGGGTGACAAACAGACGTGCTTTCCAAACCCTGGCAGTGGCTGTCCGCATGCCGCCCCGGCCGCAGCAGCTCACCTGAGACTGTCGCCCACAATTCCCGTGGCTGCTAACCAACTCTGCCCGAGCCGGCCTGCACCTCCAGAGCCCTCTGAAATTCAGGTGGCATTCAGCACTCAGGATGACCATGAGCAGAACTCAGGATCCACGCTTCCTAAGTTTCGGAATTCACAAGGCCGAAGTTCACCAACCTGCCTCTGAACAGACAGCTGCACTCACTGGTTCGGATATGCTACTCCCAGGACATTCTCTATCTGCCCCGGTGCAGCTTGGTTAAAAGTAAAAATAGTCCTCTCGTCCGCTGAGATCACGTGGGGACTCTGAGTGGACCACCAGCAGCCTTTTTTAGCTGGCCACACGGTTAGGGTCACACAGCCCGTGTTGGCTATGAAATGCAGGCTGCGGGGCTGAGTGCCCGGGAAGAGCTCACTGGAAGGTCAGGCTGGGTCACAAGGGACAGCTTCCACCCAGCACGTCTTCAGATCACAGCGTCTAGTGTTGGGGATGCCGAATTACCCCTCTTCACCCAAGCAGCCCCGTCGTCAGAGGTGAGAGGAAAGAGGGACGCGCCACACTTACAGAAATTTTCCGTTCGTCTTCGATCCGATCAGGACGGTTTGCTCGGATTCATCCCGAGAGATTTTCCCGTGGAACCAGGGCATCTTTTCGTGGGCGGTGGTGGCGATCAGCTTCTCCAGCTGCGGCTTCTGACTGATGATGGCTTGCTCCAGAGCCTGGCCCTGCAGCGAGGGAGGACAGTGAGCAAGCCAGGCACAGATGGAGACAGGCACCGGGCCGGTGCTGGGGTGCAGTGGGCTAAGCCTCGCCTGCACCACCGGCATCCCTTATGGGCGCCAGTTTGAGCCCCAGCTGCTCCGTTTCCGATCCTGCTCCCTGTAATGCACCTGGGAAAAGCAGTGGAAAATGGACCAAATTGTTGGGCCCCTGCACTCACATGGGAGACCAGGATGGAATTCCAGGCTCCTGGCTTAGACCTCACCCAGCCCCGGCCATTGTGGACATTTTGGGGAGTGAACCGGCAGATCTCTCTCTCTCTCTCTCTCTCTCTCTCTGTCTCTGTCTCTCTCTCTTTCTAACTCTGCCTTTCAAGAAAAACAAACAAACAAAAAGAAATGGATACAAATTGAGAACCCACAACCCTGGAAAAATAAAAAAGACATAGGGCCGTTGCTGTGACACAGCGGGTAAAGCCTCTGCCTGGGGTGCCAAATTCCTTTATGAGCCCCAGTTCGAGACCCGGCTCCACTGCTCCACTTCCAATCCAGCTCTCTGCTATGGCCTGGGAAAGCAGGAGAAGATGGGACTTGGGCCCCTGCACTTGTGTGGGAGACCAGAAAGAAGCTCCTGGCTCCTGGCTTTGGATCCGCGCAACTCTGGCCTTTTCAAACCAGTGGATGGGAGACCTTTCTCTCTGTTTCTCCTTCCCCCTGTCTTTAACTCTATCTTTATTTATTCAATAAACAAAATCTTAAAAAAAAAAGAGTTCTCAGCTAAAAAAAGAAAAAAATGACATGCACAGAAGTCATTTTCGGTCTGTCCTGGGTCCTAACACCCTTCCATGCTACAATGGGATCAGACTTGGTTCATTCACTCACTCGTCGTCTACTCATTTATTAAATACAAACAGGCCGGCGCTGCGGCTCACTAGGCTAATCCTCCACCTTGAGGCGCCAGCACACCGGGTTCTAGTCCCAGTCGGGGCGCCGGATTCTGTCCCGGTTGCCCCTCTTCCAGGCCAGCTCTCTGCTGTGGCCAGGGAGTGCAGTGGAGGATGGCCCAAGTACTTGGACCCTGCACCCCATGGGAGACCAGGAGAAGCACCTGGCTCCTGCCATCGGATCAGCACGGTGCGCCGGCCACAGCGCACCAGCCGCAGCGCACCAGCCGCGGCGGCCATTGGAGGGTGAACCAACGGCAAAGGAAGACCTTTCTCTCTGTCTCTCTCTCTCTCACTGTCCACTCTGCCTGTCAAAAAAAAAATTAAATACAAACAGTAAGACTTTTATCTGAGGATCCTCATGGAAATGGAATTAAGATACCATTTTCTGGTGCAAAAAAAAAAAAAACCTGGAAAACCATGAATAGATTTTTCATAATATGCATTTTCCAAGAACTTTGAAGACTCCCTGTATATTACTTAAGGGTCCTCCAGGGTATTGTGCCCAAAAAAAAAAAAAAAACACAGATGATGAGCTACTTCCTCCAGATTGTAGAATAAGGAGACTGGCCTGTCAAAAGCTATTGCATGGCACCTGGTATAACCCACGAGGTCTAGGGCGCGGCCTCCTGCCTGCAGCCTAGATGGCCTGGCTGTCCTGTGTCGCAACCTCCAGGCAGTTGCAAGGAAAGCGCGTGTGGCTTCCCCGAGTACTCATTCCCCCACCCCAGCCTGCACCTGCACCTGCAAGAAATGGGATCACACGCATGATGGCAGAAAGCCTTGACCATGCGGACTTAACGATGGGGAAATCCAACATGGGGGAAGGGGCTGGCAGCCACGCCATTCGGTTTCTCTGTCTTTTTCGGTGGGAGAGACATAGATCATCTCATTAGACACTGAAGAGCCAAAGTTCGATTCCTCGCATTGGAGAAGAGAAGCACTAACAACATAACTGTTGCCATCCCACAGCAGGAGCTGGAAGAAGGGAGGCAGAAGGCAGGGAGGGAGACAAGGACGGCGACAGTCATACACCGCGGGGCACGCGGAACAAGGTGAACGGAGGAAAAAGCACATGGCTGTAGATCACAGGCCAGACATAGCCCTGGGCACCGGCAATGCCACGGCTGAACAGCAGGCGCATCGCGTTTTGTGGAGGAAGCCACTCTGCGAAGGCTACATGCTGTGGAATTCCCCTTACGTGACATTCTAGAAAAGGCGAAACGGTGGGGACAGGAATCAAACGAGCGGTTTCCAGGAGCTGGGACAGGCGAAGGTGAGGGAGCTCTTGTCTGCCTTGACGATGTAGGGATTATGTGATACCAGGCATATGTCAAAGATCATAGGACTGCACACTCAAAACGGATCAATTCACTGTGTGTAAACTCCACCCAAGAAATATGACTTACCTGACTTAATAAAGAATAAATGCATGGCCTAAGACATACCCAATAAATACGAATGAAAAATACTGAGTACATTATTGCAAAATCCCTCTGCGAGGCTGAATTGAACACAGGCCATACTGAATGAATAAACGGAGTCTCTATGGCGTCCTCAGAGGATCCATATGGCCATAAATCAGCATGCATCAAATACATAGCAAAGCACAAGACAGACCTCCCGGGAGCACAAGGAGAAGTGGTTGAGCACTTATGTCCAAGAAGAGACTATCAATCTAAACTGTTGGCTCTTGACACCAAATACTATCAAGAATGTGGCAGGAGTGCAAATGGTTACAACCTCTGTCACCTTTGTAGATGGAACTCGTCAATGTATCCACATTAAACACACACACACACACACACACACTCATACCCTGGGCTGTGACAAACCTAGCCTTTTTAGAGTTTATCTGGCAGGCATTGCACATAAGCTTAGTTTAAGATGGGGACAGAATACTGTTGTTAGGAGAATTATTTTTCAAACCATAAAAATGTCCATCAACAGGGACTAGCTAAATAAATTTGGTACACAACAGGCAATGCCAGGCAACCAAAGACAGGGTAACTGATACATAGAAATGTCTGCAAGAGATTTAGGAAGCTATCAAATCTGGTTCCAAGCCGGTGCCGCGGCTCACTAGGCTAATTCTCCGCCTTGCGGCGCCAGCACACCAGGTTCTAGTCCTGGCCAGGGCACCGGATTCCGTCCCGGTTGCCCCTCTTCCAGGCCAGCTCTCTGCTGTGGCCAGGGAGTGCAGTGGAGGATGGCCCAAGTGCTTGGGCCCTGCACCCCATGGGAGACCAGGATAAGCACCTGGCTCCTGCCATCGGATCAGCGCGGTGCGCCGGCCGCAGCGCGCCAGCAGTGGCGGCCATTGGAGGGTGAACCAACGGCAGAGGAAGACCTTTCTCTCTGTCTCTCTCTCTCTCACTGTCCACTCTGCCTGTCAAAAAAAAAAAATCTGGTTCCAAACAGCGGGCACACCATGACCTTGTTAGGAGAATAAATAACAATAGATGCCCAGCCATGCCTTTCCCAAAGGGCCCGCCATGAACTGGTGGCAGGGGAATGGCTTCCTGCAGTGGAGACACCCACGTGGCTGGAGGGCAGGGGCCCACTCTCTGGGCTGTGTTTCTACAGAGGAAGGGCAGTCTTCTTGGAGCATTTGGAGCCAGGGTTGATGACTACGGAAATGGTTGCCGGGAGATTTCTTCAATAGGTTTGCAGAAGATAGAATTAAAAAAAAAAAATTGTGCAAAATACTTTGAAATCCATGCACACATGGGATCTTCAAAGTTCATGGGAAATGCATATTACGAAAAAACTATGCACGGATTTGGGCGCCGTGGTATGGTTTACATGTACCATGGTTCTGCACGTGTGGGTTTATAGGGACCTATGAACTCAGGGCTGGCCACACCTCACCTGCAGGTTCCACGTCTGCTTCACGTACTCCCTGATGAGGCTCTCCTTCAAGTCCTCAAAGGGCCCGGTCTTGGGCTGCACCCCAGGGGGCCGGTTGAAGGGCGTCTTGAGGAGGCAGATGAGGCCGTCGGACTCCTGAGAGTGGTAGTGACAGAGCTCGGCGGGGCTGCTGTGTGTCCTGCCACCAGCGATGGCATAGGTCCCATTGAGCTCCCTCTCGATGGTGTAGTGGTGCGCCTTCCTCCCGTGGGCCACCGACAGGGCAAAGCCGCCCAGGTAATTGCGACTCTGGCGCAGCAGGTAGAGCCCATCAGTCATGCCTCCCTGGACCAGGTAATCCTCGGCCTCTTCCCGGGTGATGTTGCCGAAGAAGAAGGGCAGGTGGTTGGCACTGTCCACCGTGTTGCTGGCCATGGCTGTGCTGGCCCCTTAGGAGATGCAAGGGCACATGCAGGGGTCCACCTGGGGCAAGACAAAGATGGGAGTGTCGGTCAGCTTCTGTTACTGTAATGAAATGCCCAAGAAAGGATACTTTATAAAGAGGTTTACTTTGGCTCATGCTTCTAGATGTGCTGGCTCCAAATAACATAGCAAGGCTCTGGCAAAGGACTTTTGGAATATAACATATCGTGGTGGGAGCATACATGTCTGTTTATATCTCCTCTTTCCTTATAAAGCCACTAGGATCTGATCCTGAGGGCTCCACGCCATGATTTAATCCAATCTAATCACTGCCCAAAGGTTCCACCGGGGAGCAGCACACTTGGATCAAGTCCCCAGCCCCCTAGCACCATGAACACAAGACCTTGTGGATTAGACTTCCACGTGAGTGTGGGGGGACAGATTCTCAGATCACTCAATGTGAGGAGCCCAAGCAGCAAGGGGCATTTGCTAAAACCCCCTGGATCCTTTCAAACCGGAGACCTGTCAGTCCAGCTCAGAACGGAAGCACTCCCCTCGCTGGGCTGCCCACCACGCTGGGGTCCCTTTGAGACTGGATAAAAGCAGGATTTACTAAGTCAGGGTCCTCCCACCTGATGGGTGTCCAGCTGCAGCTCCAACCCAATCAGGAGAGACAGCAACCAGACTCTACCTGCCCTATTAAGGATTCCCCCAACCTGCACGTGCCCAGAACAGTCCAATGTGATAGGTACATGACCTTTCTGGGGTGGTGCTGGTAATGACCAATGCCACAATTTTGAGCCCATTGTGTGCAAAAAGAAAAAAAAAAAAGGAACTGTGCATGCACACAATACTGAGCTGGGTACAAGTCCAAGTGTCATGTGCTGAGAGGAGGCCCCCATCCTGTAAAAACCCCTGCCCAGCCCCCCTCATCGAAGCTGTCTCCCTTGTGCTTAAGCCCCCAGTAAACCTTGTCCAGTGGCACGTTGGCCTTTTGTCCATTTCTATTTGGGTCAGGATTACTTTGTCCTGTACAATTATCACAGTTTCCCTGCACACTCTCTGAATCCTATTTCACAGATTATTTTTTTATTTGAAAGGAAGAGTGATAGAAAGAGAGGGAAAGACAGAGATGTTCCATCGGCTGGTTCATTCCCCAAATGTCTACATCGGCCAGGGCTGGGCCAGGCTGATGCCGGAAGCCAGGAACTCCATCTGGGTCTCCCACATGGGTGTCAGGAATCCAAGTATTGCTGCCTCCCAGGCACGTTGGCGGGAAGCTGGATTGGAAGTGGGAGCGTGGCTCCATCCCAGGCACTCTGACATGGGATGCGGGCATTCCAAGTGCGGCTTCACCTGTTGTGCCACACCTGCTTCTCGCCCTCTGAATTGTTAAACCAGACACAGAGCATCTGACCAAAGTGACCAAATTGATCGATTTTTTTTTTTTGGTTGGGATAAAGAAGCCTAAGAATAAAGAGTAGGGAATAAGCAAAAACAATGTTGCCACACATGACTCAGAGGTCATCCTGAGGGTCCACGCCGGAGGCAGACCCAGCGTGAGCTGACAGCCACCGCTCCTCTGTGGGTGCAGAGGACCTGCTCCGCATCACAGCTAATTCACAGCAGAGGCATCACTGAACAGTTTCCGCCTGAACCAGGAGAGGCTGCTGCTTTGTGTAGCCACACACGGTGGTAGAAGCCGTGAGAGCTGAAGTGAGGGCCACGGTCACAGGCTGTGCAGAACCGTCACCTGCGGTCACCTCAAGGCCTGAGACACGGAACGTGGTGTCCTTCCCACATGTCCCCATCCCTCAGCCTGGGGCGCCACGCTGCCCCCCCCACTTCTCCAGACCTCACACTGGGCACCCTGCTTCCCAACTGCATGGCCAGAGACAGTCTGAGGCCAGACAGAGCTGTGTGCCTTGCATAAACCCACGCTGCAGAAGACAAACACCCGGAGGCAATCTGCAAACAGGGAGGATACGCACTGCCCGGCCAGCAAGGATCCCAAGAGGGACGCATTGCAACCCAAAGGGGCTGGTCGTGGCGCAGTTACTCATACAACGCGTAGTTCATCTGGGGCCAAGAGAGCATGACCCTGTGTGCTATTCTGCCCAGTGACTGTACCACACACACACACAGATACCACATACACACATTCAAACTACACACACACAGATACTACATACACTTACACACACCACACACAGATCCAAACTACACACACACACACACACACACAGATACTACATACACATGTACACACCACACAGAGATCCAAGCTACACACAAACACAGATACCACATACACACACCAAACACAGATCCAAACTACACACACACACACACATACACACACCACACACAGATCCAAACTACACACACACATACACACACCACACACAGATCCAAACTACACACACACATACACACACCACACACAGATCCAAACTACACACACACATACACACACCACACACAGATCCAAACTACACACACAGAGATACTATATACATACACACACCACATCCAGACCTAAACTACACACGCATAGCACACACACAGGTACCACTTACATATACACACACCACATATAGATCTAAATTACTCACACACACATACCATATATACACATGACACATATGATACACACTACACACCACATACACATACCGTGTACAATACACATTACATATATATACCACACACAGACAACATACTCATGCCACACTCATCTCACATGTCACACATACACACACATATCACATACATGCCCTACATCCCACCTCCCCACACACCTATCCTGCACCCATCTACTCTCCCAAGCCCTGGGGACCATCACTCTCCATGGTCCACTCTGGACTCCATCCCAAGCAGGTGACCGCCTTGGTTTCCTGGGGAGGGGCAGGGCCATGGTGGGGTCACGACAGCCCCACAGTGGCTGAGCAGCACCCCTACCACCATCAACCATGTGACTTCCTGTGCTGGGTGTGAAGAAGCACCTTGTCCACCATCGCTGTCACTGGTGGTTTGCAGGGAGAGCTGATCTGCTGCATGAACGGTGTCCAGCACGTCGCCAGGCTACTGAATTTGGGGACTAAATACCGAGTTCAGTGTCCCCTTGTACACCATCTCAGGGCTGGCATCCCTGGTGCCACCCAGGGCCTCAGCCTGGCCTCCACCCTCCTCTTCCCCGTGCCACTGTGAAAAGTGAGAACCACCTCCATCCCAGCCACTGTCCACATGAGCCTGGGGCCAGGCTGCTGTCCTCGGCCCACGTCTCAGACAAGAGCTCCCACTGACCACGGCAACCTCAGAGTCCCACCTTTGGCCACAGCTGGGACATCTCTCAGCACCCGTCATGCACGACAGATACGGGGCAGCACCATTCCCACTGTTTCTGTTCCTCCTGCACTCCGTGAACTTGCCATTCCCGCCACCGTCGCCACACACACTGCTCCAAGCTGCCTTCCTCTCTCGGCAGGGGAGGCCATGGCTCACATTCTCTTTAGCACCCGCTGCTGTCTTATGCTCCTGCAGAGTGTTTAAAGCCCACTCCCAAGTCTTCGATGGTTCAGCATCCCATGTCACTTTTCTCCAAGTGTGAAACCACGATACTCAAAAGCACTCGATTAAGAAACACAGAAAAAAAGCCCCTGGGCTCCACAGATCAGGTCCCCCACTGCCTCCTAACTGCACCTGCACCCCTCAGCACACACCTGTGCAGGTAGGTTTTTGGCAAGGAGAGCCTGCAGGTGCCAGCAGAGCTGCACTAAACGTGGAGAATCCTTGGCTCTCTTGGAGACTTTTTATAACATAGGTTAAAAGTGCACACAGTCCTACAAAAGTGATGTGGACATGAAACAACCAGCCGTGACTCCCTGGTCTGCAGCTCTCCCTTCCTGCTCCATGGTTCCCCATAGCACTTCTTGGAAGGGCGCCGACCTTGAACACATCACCTTTGCAGCTGAACTTGAGTGCAGCCTCGCTCCACTCACCAGAGGGCCAGTGCTGGCGGTGAGAATAGTACAGGCTTGGTTCACTGCTGCACCTCCATGCCTGGAGCAGCTTCAGGCACACAATGGGTGGCCAGACTCATGACCGTGGATGTTCACTTTTCTATGCTGAGCCCCTGACCCACACATCAGCTTGTCTGATGTCTCCATGTGGATGCCCAACAGGCAGCTCAATCTTCAAGTGCCCAAAATGGGGCAACTGCATCCTCTTTTTTAAAAAACAAATATTTATTTATAAAAATATATATTTATGTATGTATGTATTTATTTATTTGAAAGGCAGAGTTATGGGCTGGGAGGAAACAGAGAGAGATCTTCCATCTGCTGGTTTACTCCCCAAAAGGCTGCAATGGCCAGGGCTAGGCCATGCTGATGCCAGGAGCCTGGAACTCTGTCTGGGTCTCCCACATGGGTGCAGGGGCCCAAGCACTTAAGTCATCTTCCACTGCCTTCCCAGGAGCATTAGCAGGGAGCTGGATCAGAAGTGGGGCAGCCAGGATTCAAAGTGGAGCTCATATGGAATGCCAGCATTGCAGGCGGTGGTTTAACCTGCTGTGCCATCATGCCGGCCCGTCATTTCTATACTGCACACTTTATCATGCCTATTTTTCTGCCTTGAATCTCTCCTAATTGAAAAACTGACACCAATTATGAGGATACTTCCAAAAGTTCATGGGATATTGAACTAAACTAGACAGGCTTATTTTGGCGCAAAAATTCTTTAAAATCTATGCATAGCTTCTCCCCCTTAATATGTATTTTCCACAAACTTATAAAAATATTGATCATTTTCCTTGTTTGAATGTCAGTGATTCAGAAAGAGAGAGATCTTCTATCAGCTGGTTCACTCCCCCAAATGCCTGCAAGAGCCAGGCTGAAGCCAGGAGCCCAAAATCCAATCCAGGTCTCCCATGTGGGTAGCAGGAACCCAAGTCATTCAGCCATCACTGGCTGCCCGTCAGAGTGCACATTGTCAGGAAGCTGGACCAGAGGTGGAGGAGCCAGGACTCAAGCCAGGCACTCCCATGTGGAATGTGGCCA